GTTGCTTACTTGCTTACTGGCTTACTTGCTTAACGTCTTACTTGTTTACTTACTATCTTCCTTACTTCCTTACTTGCTTCCTTCCGTACTGCCTTAATTACTTACTTGCTAAAATGCTTACTGGCTTACTTGCCTACTTCCGTCCTTGCCTACCTTCTTTCTGCCCCAATTACTTAGTTGCTTATTAGCTTACTTGCTTACTGGCTTACTTGCTTTATTGTCTCCTTGCTTACTTGCCTACTTGCATATTGGAATAATCGCTTACTTACTTACTGGCTTAGTTGGTTACTTGCCTTATTTCTTACTTGCTTAATTGCTTACATGCTTACTGGCCTACTTCCTTACTGTTTTACTTGCATAATTGTATACTTGCTTATTTGAATACTTGCTTACTTGCATACTGCCTTAATTGCTTAATTGTTTACTGGCTTACTTGATTACTTGCTTACTGCCCTAATTGCCTAATTCTTACCTGCTTACTTGCTATATTCCTTAATTGCTTTCTTGCTTCCTTTCTTACTGCCCTAATTGCTTACTTGCTTACATGCATACTGGATTACTTGCTTAGATGCCTACTCGCTTACATGCTTACTGGCCTACTTGCTTACTGGCTTACTTGCCTACTTGTCTATTTCCATAATTACATACTTGCTTAATTTCATACTGCCTTAATTGCTTACATGCTTACTGGCTTACTTGGTTACTTACTTACTTACTTACTGTCTTACTTGCTTATTTTCCTACTTCCTTACTTGCTTACTTGCTTACTGCCCTTATTACTTACCCAGTTACTTGCTAATTGCCTTAATTGCTTAGTTTCTTACTTGATTACTTGCTTACTAGCCTAATTGCTAACATGCTCACTGGCTTTCCTTGCTTAATGTCTTAATTGCTTACTTGTCTAATTGCTTATTTGCATGCTTGCTTACTTGCTATATTCTTTAATTGCTTATTTGCTTCCTTTCTTACTGCCCTAATTGCTTACTTGCTTACATGCAAACTGGATTACTTGCTTAGTTGCCTGCTTGCTTACTTGCTTACTGGCTTACTTGCTTACTGGCTTACTTGCCTACTTGTCTATTTCCATAATTACATACTTGCTTAATTTCATACTGCCTTAATTGCTTACTTGCTTACTGGCTTACTTGTCTAATTGCTTATTTGCATGCTTGCTTACTTGCATACTGCCTTAATTGCTTACTTGCCTACTGGCCCACTTGGTTACTTGCCTAATTTCTTACTTGCTTACTGTCTTAATTGCTTACTAGTCTAATTACTTATATGCATGCTTGCTTACTTGAATACTGCCTTGATTGCCCACCTCTATACTTGCTTACTTGCTTCCTTTCCTACTGCCTTATTTGCATACTTGCGTAGATGCTTACTGGCTTACTTGCTTACTGTCTTACGTGCTTACTTCTATACTTGCTTATTTGCATACTTGTTTACTTGCTTACTGCCTTAATTGCTTACTTGCCTACTGGCCCACTTGGTTACTTGCCTAATTTCTTACTTGCCTACTTGCTTACTTGCTTACTGAACTAAATCCATACCCAGTTACTTGCTCCTTGCCCTCATTGCCTAAGTGCTTACTTCCTTACTTGGCTAATTGCTAACATGCTTACTGGCTTACTTGCTTACTGTCTTACTTGCTTACTTCTATACTTGCTTATTTGCATACTTGTTTACTTGCATACTGCCTTAATTGTTTACTTGCCTACTGGCCCACTTGGTTACTTGCCTAATTTCTTACTCGCTTTCTCGTTACTTGCTCACTTGCTTTGTTGCTTACTTGATTACTTGCTTACTTTCTTACTTGCTTACATGATTACAGCCTTACTAGCGTACTTGGTTACTTGCACAATTTCTTACTTCCTTACTTGCTTTCATGCTTACTGGCTAACTTGCTTAATTGCTTACTTGCTTACTGGCTTGCTTGTTGTCTTGCTAACTTGCCTAACTTCTTATTCGGTATTTCGTCACTTGCTCTTTTGCTTTGTTGCTTAATTGGTTAATTGCGTAGTTGCTTACTTGCTAACTTGCCTGATTGCTTACTTGCTTATTTGCTTACTGCCTTAATTGCTCACTTGCTTACTGACTTACTTGCTTATTTGCTTATTCGCTTACTGCCTTAATTGCTTACTTAATTACTTGCTAACTTGCTTACATGCTTACTGCCTTAATTCCTTACTTGGTTACTTGCCTAATTTCTTAATTACCGACTTGCTTGCTAGCTTCATTACGTACTGGCTTACTTGCTTACTGCCCTAATTGCTTACCTAATTACTTGCTTAATTTTTTAGTTGCTTACTGACTTACTTGCTTGCTTGCTTACTGCCTTAATTCCTTTCTACCCCAATCCCTTAATTGCTTAATTGCTCACTTGCTTAGTTGCTGACTTCCTTACTTGCTTACTTGCTTACTTGCTTATTTGCTTACTGCCTTAATTGCTCACTTGCTTACTGACTTACTTGCTTATTTGCTTACTGCCTTAATTGCTTACTTGCTTACTTGCTCACTTGCTTAGTTGCTGACTTCCTTACTTGCTTACTTGCTCAGTTGCTTACTTTTTTACTCGCTTACATCGTTACATACGTACTTACTTACTTACTTACGTACTTACTTACATACTTTCCTTCTTACTTACTTGCTTACTTACTCATATGCTTACTTACTCACTTGCTCACTTTCTTACTTGCTTACTTTCTTACTGGCTTACTCGATTACTTCCTTACTTCCTCACTTGCTTACTTGCTTACTTACCTACTTACTTACTTGCTTGCCTACTTACTTACTTACTTACCAACCAACTTGCTTACTTGCTTTCTTGCTAAATTGCTCACTTACTTACCAGATTACGTGCGCAAATACTTACCTACTTGCTTACTTGCCTCCTCGCTTACCTGCTTGCTTGCTTTTTCGCATTCTTTCTTACTTGCTTACTTGCCTGGTTACCTTATTACTTACTCACTTACTCATTTAGTTACTTCCTTACTTACGGACTTACTTGCCTACTTCCTCACTTGCTTACATGCTTACTTGCTCACGTTCTAACTTGCTTACTTGCTTACTTCCTTAATTTCCTACTTGCAATCTTGCTTACTTGCTTACAATCTTACTGGCTTGCTTGCTTACTTGCTTACTTTCCTAATTGCTTATTGCCCTAATTCCCCACTTGCCCACTTGACTTTTTGCTTCGATGCTTACTTGCACACTGGCTTAGATGCCTACTGGCCTACATGCTTACTTGCTTACTTGCTTTTTCGCTTACTCTCTTATTTGCTTACCTACCGACTTAATTGCCTACTTGCTCACTTTCTTACATGCTTACTTGCTTACTTTCTTACTTGCTTACTTTCTTACATGCTATCTTGCTTAATTGCTTACTTGCTCGCTTGCCTACTTGCTTACTTGCTTACTTGCTCACTTGCTTACTTGCGTATTTGCTTACTTCCACACTTACGTACTTATTTACGTACTTTCCTTCTTACTTTCTTGCCCACATACGTACTTACTTACTAACTTGCTCACTTACTTACTGCCTCAATTGCTTACTTGATTACTTTCCTACTCACTCACTTACGCACTGAGTTCAGATATTGTCTTTCTTGTGTAATATGACAAGTTTACATGAATATATTTTGGTAGTTTTTATCTTTCCATTTGATGTTGAGGACTGCAACTGTGGTCAATTCTAGAGATTATATAAATCCAGCTGGCGAGTCTCAATTAAACAGGATACCCATCTTACATTTTACTGCTACCCATCATCTATTTCTGCCTGTAAAACGTATAAATCATTCATCCTTGAAAATTGTAAGCCGCACTTTTCCACCAATGACATGTCTCGTTCTTTAAAAATGGTAACTTTATCTTAATTCAGTCGCATGCACGTTTGTCTGATTAGTCCGATGAACAAATTTCATTTGTTACATTCACCTGAACAACATAGGCAAGATGCATCTACCTAAAAGATTCTAGTAATAAATTTTATTTAGTGAGTTCAATCTAAGTTTACGTTGAAAGCGATAAGACAACCACTAAATTCTATTATCACAAGTTAGTCGAATGTAAAACAATCAAAGTAAACAAATCCTATTGAGATAGCTCTCAGAAGCCCTACAAGTTCCTGAGAAAGCTGAAGAAATTCATATCTAACAATATCCTAACAGGCAACTATAATTACATGGTAAGATGAATGGTTTATTTTATCTAAAAATACAAAACTAGAAAAAAACGACCAGTTGAGTTCAACCCTGTCGGGTATAGGCAGTAACTATCGAAGACGATTAGGTGACGTTGCGTTAAATCCCTAGATTGATCAGAGTTAGACGCTAACACTGTTGGATGCCGGTCCAGCCGTTCACAAGTTAGGCGTTCGCGCGTAAGACCGAAGATCCTCGGCTTGAATCTTGCAAGTAGCGGTAGCCGTGAATGAGCACTGCTGATGAGTCCCATACTGAGGCGAAACGACCGTCTAGTGCTTCCTGGTTTCTTATAGTAGTCTACCAATGATTGATTGATGTAGTCAGTAATAAACAACAATCTCCATAACTCCATAATGAAAAAAAATCGTTTTAATCAATGAGTATCCATTGCCAATCATCATTCTCATCATGAATATGCAATTTTGTTTCAAAAACATTTCATTGAATTGATGATATTACCAAACTAACGATGTATATTTCCTATTTTAAATGAACAAGAGGAGCAAAATTCCTAGATTTAGTGGGCTACAGTAAATTCTAAGTAGGGTTCACTACTTCATTGGCCAACGATCTGATTTCAATTTGGACGAATGATCGAGTATGCTCAGTAATAAATAATAAATCTTCCCAGTTTATGCGATAGCAGTAATAAGAAGTCAAATATTGTTTTACAAAAATGAGTTTATTTTATGCTATCGTTCACACACAGGCAGACAAGAAAATAGAAAGCATAAAAGCAAAGTGAAGAAGGCGAGTTAGCCAACTCCATGTTCTGAAACATGAATCAGTGTATCTATAGTTAGATAAAAAAAAATAAGCCAGACATGCAATAAACGAAGTCGGCATGCACACACACACACACACTCAATTAAAATTAACCGAAGTTGTAAGCAAATAATTGACAAAATCGAAAGATAAGTGAACAATGAATGACTTGTAAGGCATGGATTAATTAATTTGTCGAAAGGCTATGAGAATAAGCCCTATGGTCTCGACATATTTGTACAGAAACTATACAAGATATGAAAGTTTAGACTAAACTATCTATCTGTTGGTGACACTTTAAACAAAAACAGACAATGCCATTGAACATTTAGAGATGTGATCATTTCGGCTCAGTGGATGATGCTGACGATGATATTGACGTTAATGATTTTGATGATGATGATGATAATGAAGTTTTAAAAAAAATATTTTTCTAATATAATCACACTTAAAATAATCAAAAATATTTCTACAATTATTAAACATACTAAAAACCATATTATATTATGATTATTTTGTTGAAATGTTATCCAATTGTTGGGTTTATTGTCTGATTCACTATTCACTAGTAGCGTTGTAGTACATTTTTTTGATGAACATTTTTGCAATTGTTCATTGGAACCAATACAACCAACATCTCCTTGACATGTACGTAAACGTGAACGATAACGTTTTAAACCACAATGAGGTGAACAATGACTCCATGAATTCCATTCTTTAATAAAAAAAAATAATGTAGTTTGATTATATATATAATACAATACAACAGAGTCTTGTCATTTGTACTTTTAATGAAAAGGATTTGTGGAGATTGTCATAGTTGAAATCATGCGTTGATCTAAGCTAGACACCATTGGAAACCTGGAAGCACTAGAAAACAGTTCTGTCTTAGTATGGGCATGCTCATCTGCAGTACGCATCCATGACCTCTATAAGCAGGAATTGAACTCACGGCCATCGGTCTAACACGTGAATGCTTGGTAAACAGACCAATAAATCAGCATCCGAAGATGTTATTGACTGGTGTTAATCAATCCGTAATGTAGTACAACTTTCATCCATCACCTAAGGCGGATCATTGTCTTTGTTCGACACAGTTGAACTCCACTAGTCACAACTTTCCATTGGGACTCCAGAATTACATCATGAAGTTAATCACTAGTGAGCACATGACTGGTATTAATGAAGAATCCCATTCTAAGCCGTAAAGTTCATTCAGTGAAAGCTTCTAGGTTTCTAATGGTGGGCTAGCTAAGAACAGTTTGTGATTTTATCTGTGAAAAAAAATTGTACTTAAAATTCATTAAAAAATTTACGGTTATAAGTAGGGATGAGATAACTAGCTAAAGATAAATTGAAGTCAACAAACTACTTAACTTTTACTAACATAGTAATTTCAGATGAAAGTCATAAGGAATTCAGAAGATTAGAATCTGAGAGAATACAACAAATAATCAATGCATTCGCGCCATTGCAAACGGTTTTGAGTCATGTCATTCTAGGTCTCCAACCATCAGGTTTGATTGTCTCGCGGGCCCCAACCACGTAGTTCACATCCACCAACACGGCTCACTTACATTTACACTTACTAATATGAATCAGCCCACTTGTCAGTGACTTCATGGATTTCTGCCATATATTGGTTTGTCGGCCAGTGGCTTTCTTCCAGCCTACCCCTACATCACAAAACATTACTTGTCAAGACAGTCGGTGGTTGGGCATATATAACACATATGTCCCAACCACTTCAACTGACAAAAATTCACTACTTCATCTTTTGATCTACCATAGTTGCCTTGTACCCATTCCCCAACGCCAGCATTGCTTACCCAGTTGCCTCAGGATATCTACAACAGACAACGAATAATGGTTGTGTAATATTATGAATTGATACTTCAGTCGATACTATTGGATAATGATTCAATGGTCTATAGATTAAAGGTCCACAGGCATGACTGAAGTTTGATCCCTTGAGTAGGGATGATGAATATGCTCTCCAAAAAGGCTCCACACTTGGATAGAACATACTTTAAATGATTCAACAAGGTTCTCAATAGTGATCCAGGTATGAGCATAATTTAAGTTATGAATAATTCCACAATCCATATATATATATATATCAAACGAAACAAAAACACAAGTGCATATAAACAAATTCAATCGAATGAGAAGCTTTATTAGAATGGATTACCACCTACCATTCCATACACCTTCTTTTAGTTCACAATACAAACCAGTATAACCTGGCTGACATTGACACATTGGCACTTGATTATTGTTAGTTTTAATCATACGATTGTTATGTTGATGAATATAATTAACAAGACCTTTCATTACATTAATACATTTTCCACCATTGAAACAAACACCTTGACCACATTTATTGCCAAGCTGATGATTTTGTTGTCTAGTTTGTTTCCAACAATTATCACCATGACTATAGTCAACATCTTTTTCATAACCAATATTACACTGACAGTAATATTGGGAGCCTGTGTGTCATACAAATTATTAATATTATTATTACTATTTAAACATATATTTATATTGGTAAAAAGAGTTACCTAAACATTTATACGCCATAAAAATCATTAAATAGGTGTGCGGGCTAGGATTTTGTCCTTGTACTCAAATCAAACAAGACAGTTTACTTAGGTAGCCATTTCTACCAAGCTGTTGGCCTATATGTTTCATCCAAACGGAAATGGAGCAACATTAGGCGATACAGTCAGTTCTATGGGGTTCATTAGAGTTTGTTTCCCTAGGACACTGGAGCTGGGTATTGGCTTCAAACCAGAAATGGATATACGCGTGTAGCTGTCACGCTCGTCTCTGGGTATGCTTTAACTGTTACGAGTTCACCTTAGTCGAATAACGAGAACAAACAATAGACCAGCGTCCAGGTAGGCTACTTTTATCCTTTAACCAAAACGAATTCAGTAAGAAGTCTTGACACAGTGTAGAAATTGTATTCTACAAACATCCAGCCAGTACAGAATGAATCCAAGCACTCAAATCGCGTCCATTCATACTCTATAGAGACGTCGTTGGGACAGTCACAAAAATAGCACAGTAAAATGACACAGTAACCAACCACAGCCACGGCTGTTCCTGGTGGGAAATGTGATCTCAAAATCAACTGATCGGTCCATGAAATAAATGCAAAATAAAGATATTTATCAAACGAGTTCTGGGGATCTAACATCCCTAACAGTAGCCCTATGAAAGGATACTGAGAACAAGAATCAACTAGCTCTCTCTTTTCGTAATTTGAAGGCATTTGTAGGGATGCTAATAATAATAAAAGATAACAAATAAGTCTAAGGTAGTAGACAGTACTTTCAGGTTTCTAATGGTGACCTAACAATGATTAATTTATGATTTCAAGGTAAAACTACAATCTCCATAATACCCTAATGCAAAATCAAAAAAATTGCTCTAACTAGTGGCAAGCTTCGTAAGGTTCTCAAAGTTCTAGTAAGAAGACGAGACTAGTGCAGTACAGCCATGTTGGATATAGACAGTTACCTAACGTAGACAATGAATGAGTTTGTGCAAAATCCCTAGATTGATCAGAGTTAGACATTAACACTGTTGGATGAGGACTCCCTTGTCTAACGGGAATGTGTTCGTGCTCAGGACCGAACGTTGTATGTTCGATTCCTGCGAGCAGTGGGAGTCGTGCTTGCGCACTGCTGATGAATCCCATATGAGGATGAAATGGCCATCTAGTGCTTCCAGGTTTCTAGTTTGTAGTCTAACAATAATTTATTCATGATTTCAAAGTGATCTATGTGACTGACTGATAGTGAAGTAGGATTGGAAGAAGGTTAAGAGCTGTTGAATCAAAATGTTAATTCTGCTGTGCATGTACATTCAATCAGTGATTATTAAAATTGAATTTTGTTATTTAGATATAAATGATCTAGTTGAAATTTACATAATTATAATTACAGTTAATGATTGAAAGGTCCACATAACGGATAGTAATGGCTTAGATGGATTCATTGACTTTTTGTCTCGCAAATTTATTTATATAGTTCACAGATTATCCTAGCTATATTTAATATTTTTTGTTACTACTAATACTGCTACTAGTTCTCCTGCTTAATTACTTTCGCCATTTACACCCAATGGAGCATAGGCCGCTGACCAGCATTTTCCAACCTACTCTGTTCTGGGCCTTCCGCTCTAGTTTCGTCCAGTTGTTGTTCACTTTTCTCATGTCTGTATCCATTTTTTTAAGTAATGATTTCCTTGACCTTCCTCTTTTACTTTGGTAATGGGGACTGTAGGTAAGCACTTGTCTTGTGACGCATTTGTGTGCTTTATTCAATATGTGTTCTATCCACTTCCAGTCGTCCATAGGTTAGGCGTTCGCGCGCAAGACTGAAGGTCTTGAATTTGAATCCTGCGAAGTGCAGGAGTCGGGGATGCGCACAAATGATGAGTCCCATACCAGGACGAAACGGCCGTCCAGTGCTTCCAGTTTTCTAATGGTGGTCTAACACTGATTGATTGATGATTTCATGTGTGTAGAAGCAAATTATTGTCAAGCTCAAAATCCAAGTGACTAATGACTTGGGAAGAGTAGATCAACCGGTTTGTCCACAAAGCTAGAACCGCCCATTCAGGTTTGACATAATGGTAGAACACACTACAGCATGTATGAATAGTGTAAGAAAATTGGTTGACATTTGAGAGCGTAATGAGAGCTAATTGGGAAAATAAGTAAATGAAAGCACAAAATTCACCTCAAATCCAGTTTCTTCTTCTGCATCGTATCACACTAATGATTCATGAATTTACTTTTAAAGAGTGTCGTAAAATGCAGAAACTCGAACTTCCACTCATCGGGGTACCAAAAGGATTTCATTATTATATCATTATACTACTTGTTATTATTCAGTAACTTATGTAAGCCATTGTCATTTTTGAACGCGATTCATTTCTGTGTGTGATAATTTCCTAAGTATTTGTGGAAAATGATGAGATTTAATTCATTTACTATTGTAATTTTCTTCAATTAATGATCAAAAAATCATCTACATCTTTCTACGGTTCAATGAACCCATTTTTTAAAATATGTGCTTAGTTCTCAAATCGATTTGTTGACGGATACTGTTGAATTGAACACTGAAGCATGCAAACGACGTAGATATCTCGAAAAACCGAAGTTTTTTGAAATGCCTTATCCATCTTTTATTATGAAAATTACTGTAAAGTATGCAAATCTCGTGTTTTAATTTCAGTCTACTGTGTACTTCACTCTATCGTTTTGTGTAAATCGTCGAGTGCATTTAACAATACATAGGTATAGGCATAATATTTAGTAAGATTCACCATTACATAAATTCACTGTCAATTTGAAAAGGTAATTTCACATTGTTTTTCAGGAAAACCAGACACTACTCACCTGTTACCACTAAAACCTGAATAGTACAGCTCAATCCTGTGGCGCAATCACACAGGTACCTGACACCCTGATCGACCCTTCACGTCATTTATGTACACCAATAATACAAATAGTGATTATTTCCAATAAATGATTGCATCATTCAATATGCACAGTATGAACAGGCCAGTTTGACCTATCCCGCTAAAATGACTATCAAACTCATTACTATTAGCAATGCTGAATGTTGCAAGAAAACCACCAGTAATTAGTTATCCTGAAAACCATATTTGTATGTTGACTATTAGCAAAACTTGCCAAACTATCCACAATGTTCATCACAGCAAACCTATGGTTTCATAGGAAACCTTCAGCTTTAATGAATGCTTATTGTTTCACTGGTAAAATGATAGTCGGCAGTTAAATCATTCAATTTAAAACTTATCAAATCAATAAAATTATTTATCATCAACAACAGCAACGTAGAACTTTGCACGTAAGTATAACAGTTCAGGTTGCCATACCACATCAGCACAGAGATATAATTGTCAATTCAAATCCCGTAGTAGTAGAGGTAGTAAAAGTGTTAGAAGTAATCGGAGAGATTCGGGTTCAAAGATGTTATTCAAGCAGTACAACTCAGTGAGGTAAATTTAGAAAGAGAAAGATAGAGTCGATGATTAATTCAGGCGGTTAGAATTTCAGAGAACACAAAGCGTAAATGCACCTGCGCCATTGCAAACTATCTTGAGCCATGTCGTTCAAGGTCTCTAACCCTCAATGACTTTCGTGTCGTAGACCCTAACCAGGTAGCCTACATTCACCAACATGACTCAGTCCATTTGTCAGTGACTTCATGGATTTCTGCCATGTTTTGGTTTGGTCGCCCCTAGCTTTCTTCCAACCTACTCCCTACACAACAAAACATCGCCCGTCGAGGCACTCGATTGTTCAGCATACGTAACACATGTTCCAACCACCTCAAATGATGAAGTTTCACTATTTCATCTATTGACCTGCCAACTTTACCTAGCACCCGTTTCGTAACGACAGCGTTGATTAATCGGTTGTCTCAGGATATACGAGCAACGCTTCGGAGACACCTATGGTCGAAGACAAGCAGTCTGCTAATGTCCTCTACTCTGACTGGCAATATTTCACAGCCATAGAGTAGGATGGAGCAAACTACTGCACAGTAAACTCATCCTTTAGTCAGCTAACGGATATCTTACTTACTTACTTACGCCTGTTACCCCCAATGGAGCATAGGCCGCCCACCAGTTTCCTCCAACCAACTCTGTCCTGGGCTTCTCTTTCCAGTTCTGTCCAATGTTTGTTAATTCTTCTCATGTCTTTCTCTATTTCTCGACATAATGTGTTCCTTGGCCTTCCTCTTTTCCTTTTGCCTTGAGGGTTCCATGTGGGGGCTAGTCTTGTGATGTAGTTCGGTGCTTTTCTCAGTGTATGTTCAGTCCACTTCCACCGCTTCTTCCTGATTTCCTCCTCCAATCGAATCTGGTTTGTTCTCTCCCACAGTAGGTTGTTGCTGATGGTGTCCGGCCAACGAATCCTCAGTGTTTTGCGTAGACAAGTGTTAAGGAATACTTGTATCTTCTGGATGATGGTTTTGGTAGTTCTCCAAGTTTCCGCTCCATACAGTATTACTGTCTTGACATTCGTATTGAAAATCTCGATTTTGGTTTTCGTTGAAATTTGTTTGGAGTTCCAGATATTTTTCAACTGTAGAAATGCAGCCCTTGCTTTGCCGATTCGCGCCTTTACATCTGCATCGGATCCACCTTAATTGTAGATAATGCTGTCCATATATGTAAAGGTGTTAACGTCCTCCAAGGCATCCCCATCAAGAGTGAGTTGGTTGGTGCATGTTGTGTTGCATCGGAGAATTTCGCTTTTTCCTTTATGTATGTTGAGACCTGCTGCTACACTGGTCGTCTTCTCTTGCATTTATTGTTGCGTGCGAGATAGAAGAGCCAGGTCATCTGCGAAGTCCAGATCGTCCAGCTGCGTCCTAACTGTCCAGTTGATACCGTGCTTCCCTCCAGATGTTGACGTCTTCATAATCCAGTCGATCACCAGGAGAAAGAGAAAGGGTGAGAGTAAGCAACCTTGCCTGACACCGGTCTTCACCTCGAAAGAGTCTGTTAGCTGTCCATCGTGTACGATCTTGCAGTTGAATCCATCATAAGAATTCCGTATGATGTTAACTATTTTCTCAGGCACACCGTAGTGTCGGAGAAGCCTCCACAGTGTTTTCCTATCCACGCTATCAAATGCTTTCTCGCAGTCGATGAAGTTGATGTAGAGTGGTGAGTTCCATTCAATTGATTGTTCCACAAGGATCCGTAATGTAGCAATTTGGTCAGTACACGATTGATCCTTTCAAAATCCGGCCTGTTGATCTCGAAGTTGGGCGTCTACAAAGTCATTCATTCTGTTTAACAATACTCTGTTGAAGATTTTGCCTGGTATTAAAAGAAGAGTGATGCCTCTGTAGTTCTCACACTTGCTGAGATCACCTTTCTTTGGTATTTTGATGAGGTATCCTTCTTTCCAATCTGATGGTACTTGTTCCTCATCCCAAATTTTCTTGAACAGGAGGTGAAATATTTTCGCAGTTGCTTCTACATCTGCTTTCATTGCCTCTGCTGGAATGTTGTCTGGCCCTGCTGCTTTGCCGCTCTTGATTTGTCTGATGGCTATACTGATCTCCTCAATCGTAGGTGCGCCAATATTAATTGGGAGGTCCGTGGATGCTGCTTCGATATTGGGTGTGTTCAGTGGAGCTGGTCGATTCAAGAGTTCCTGAAAGTGCTCTACCCACTTATTTCGCTGTTCTTCAGTGTTGCTGATTACTTTGCCTTCCTTACTTTTCACTGGTCATTCTAGTTTACGATAGTTTCCAGCGAGCTTCTCTTATTGTTTCGTACAATTGTCTCAAGTTTCCGCCTCTTGCAGCCTTTTCCGCCATCATTGCTAGATCTTCCACATCTTTTCGTTTGTCAGGTCTAATGCTCTTCTTCACTTCCCTGTTTGCTTCTGTGTATGCAGCTTGTGAAGCAACTTTCTCTGCTCTTGTTCGGCTGACATTGATTGCTGCCTTCTTGTTCCTCCTTTTTTCAATTTTTGCAAGAGTATCAACAGAGATCCATTCCTTGTGATGGTACTTCTTGTGACCCAGAACTTCGTGACATGTTGAAGTGATTGCCTCTTTAATCCCTTTCCAATTGTCCTCCAATGTTGTGTCCTCTCCATTGAGTAGATCCTGAAAGGCCTGGAACCTATTGCTGAGGGTTATCTCTAATTCGTTGAGTTTTACGGTATCCCAAAGAAAGGCTGTATTAAACTTCTGTGATGTTGTCTGTCCCGTTGTCCAGTGCTTCTTTAGTTTCAGTTTCATTTTGGTTCTCACATCCTCCATAGTCCTTCTGAACGTTTTGTTGATACAGATATGGTCAATTTGGTTTTGAGTAGTGTGATCCGGTGAAATCCATGTGGCTTTGTGTATACCTTTGTGTGGGAATATTGTGCCACCGATGACCAGTTTGTTGAAGGCACATAGGTTTGCAAATCTCTCACCGTTTTCGTTTCTTTCTCCCAGTCCATGTCGTCCATGATGTCTTTATATCCAGTGTTGTCCATTCCAACCTTGGCATTCAGGTCTCCCATAAGAATCATCAAATCCTTTGGTTAACATTTCGCGACGATTGACTGCAGCCTTTCGTAGAATTGATCCTTAATGTCGTCATTGTAGTCATTGGTAGGTGCATAGCATTGGATGACGTTCATTGTAATGTCCTCTTTCTTTGTTTTGAAGGATGCTTTGATGATCCTGGGTCCATGAGATTCCCATCCTATCAGTGCCTTTTGTGCATGTTTGGACAGCATCAGTGCAACTCCTTGTGTATGTGAAGCATTTTCCTCTTCATTACTAGAGTATGACAGCAGTTCTCCTAAAATAATGGTTGCTCTAGTTTTAAGAAGAAGCATCGGCCCCGTGACTTCCGAGGGAACTCGGCTTTCATCACGCGACGTCATAATTCTTCTTCCAACTCCCAGGGCAGAGTTAAAATGGTTTGAATTATTTTTTCCGGTTAGCGTTTTTTTGGCAAGTTAGATTTCTACGGAATGGGGTCGCCAACCCTATGTCCAACCCTCCTCCTTTACCCGGGACCGGCAGTAGCCACAAAGGTTCTACTGGCGGAGTTAAACGAATATCTTGCCTTCGTCATAAGTGACTCAAGTTGGAAAAAGCCAATTTAGCTTTCCGTATCCCTAAGAGTTTGTCAGTCACCAGGCCATAGGCACTGATGAAGCTCCCGAGATAAGTGAAGCGGTCAACACGCTCGACTACTTCACTCCCTATCACTAGTTCAGGTACTGATGCGGCACAATCTTGAAGCAACATTTTGCATTTCGAGGGTTAGAACCTCATCCTCTACATGCTTGCATTGTTGCTTAGGGTAGTCAGAAGACTAATAATTTAGAAGGCTAACAACAATTAAGAAACTATATTAGTTAGACTGATTCCTCTGTGATTGTCACAAGAAGACTTTTGTCCTTTCTTACAAATTGGGACAATCAAGGACTGAGACCAGTCAGATGGTATTACGTCCAGTTCACAGATTCTACCTAAGATCCCAGTCAACCTTACTGCTAAAACTGGACCACCATCCTTAAAAATCTCAGGGGTCAGTCTATCAGGACGTGCTGCTCGCCCTTGTTTCAGATTTCCTATAGCTTTCTCAACTTATTCACTTGACTATGTATTGTTGTTATTTTTCACAGAATAAATTAAATCTAAACATTAAAATCTTACACTGAATAAATCAAACTTTATTAGTTAAAATGTCGCCCAAATATCAACAGTCAATCTCATAAAACTAACCATTGGAATGACATGTACCATAATTGAAAGGAACACCGCATAACCAGTTACCCGTAGCCAATTTCAAATAACTATCATCATGATCATGATCATGATCATCATCATCATCAAACAACAAAAGTGGACGATCAATATCATCGGGAACCAATTGACTATGCATTAATTGTTCAGGTTTAATTAAAGCATTCGATATTAAATGTTCACATGGTTCAAATGGAACGGAACAATCAATACCAGTGAAACCTTCAGCACATAAACAATGTGGCCATAATGATATGTCAACATTAGAAGTTAAGGTCAATTTGCTTGCTTTGTCGTTCCTGTTATCTTTAATCAATTTTAAACGTTGATAACATTTACGTGGATTATTTTGACAAAATTTAGACATTTCTTCATTACATTCAATATTCCATGTAGGGCGAAATAGATTTTTAGGTTTACTTTTCATAATTGCTGGTATTAATAAACAACCAGTCTGTGACTTGACTGTTCGCCAATTGTAAGCACTTGATTTACACTGACACCTTTTAAATATATATAATAAAGAGTCAATTATAATAATCAGGAAATGTAAATGAATAGATTACAAAAGTAAACATTTTCAAACTCGCTAGCGAAATAGATTTCAATCTGTACTGTTACACAGTCAATATCTTTCGTCATCCGTCCAATCAATAATGTGAAGTATTCAACAAATTTACTATACATTGAAATTGTGAATCAATCATTGTCATACCACCAGTAGGAAACTGGATGTACTGTACTGGTGGATATCTGGTCCTGTTATGGGACTGATCAACAGTGTACATCCATGACTCCTGCAACTCACAGGATTCGAACACAGAACGCTTCACTCACGCTACATCACCAAGTTGGCATTCAACAGTGTTGACGCTTAACATTGATCAATCTAATGATTTTTCGTAACCCCAACCATGATCTTCTATGTGTACCTGACTACACTCGACATGGTTGAGATCCACTGGTTACAGCTTCTCTCTAGAACTAAGAGAATTTCCTTATAAGACAATAACTATCGAAAACAATGGGTCAGATTGCACAAAATCCTTAGACTGATGAGAATCAAACATTAACATCTTTGGATGCCTGGCTTAGTGGCCTAGCGGTTATGTGTTTTGCGCGAGACCGAAGTTCCTGTGAGAAATGGGAGTTATGGTTGCACGCTGCTGATAATTCCCATACCAGAATTAAACGGCGGTCTAGCACAGCCAGGCGGTCCAACGATTATTGATTCACGATTTCAATGTGAAACAACAATCTCCCTAACTCTATAATAAAACATTTTACTATCGTAGTTTCTGACTGGTTTGAAATATATTTATACGATAGTTTAATTTACAGTGGTCACAAACTAAATATTGTCTTTCAGGATTCCTGTAACTTGATAAAATTCAAGGTAGTTGAAGTACTAGTAGTTGTATTTGTTACTGATTTCAGTCATTCCGTGTAATTTATTCAATATTATCTTAGCGATTTACTCAATCATACAAATAATGACAAATCATTATGTAATTCATAGAATCATATGTCTTAATCATACTTATTTTATCATGACATATGTTTACATAACGACCATCTAGTGATAGGCTGAGATTTCTAGTTGAATGTCAATGTTTTATCAGATAATATGCATTGATCATTGAACAGACAGTTACATTGGTTGGTTAATCACTATAACATACCCAACACAATATCTTAGATGTATCATTTATCAGATTTCATGTATCAAGAAACCACTGTTGTATTTATCTTTCAGTAGCCCTAATTAAAATCTAGTTTATCAAGTTGAAACTTGGTCATTTCTTGTTGTACGGCGTATTGTTTGATAATGTCGAAAACAATCGATATGAAAGCATGGAAATAAATTTCTTGCTAGTGGGCATATTCATCAGTAAGATGTTTTTTTGCAATCTGCAAAGTACTGATTGTTTTTGTTAGATCGGGAAGGAAGCTGGAGCGATGGTAATCTTCGCGATTAATCTATGATTTTGCACGATAATACTAAGGAGATCATTAGAAACCATTAGAAACCTGGAAGCACTGGACGGCCGTTTCGTCCTAGAATGATAGTTATCAACATTGGGCATCCACGACTCACGCAACCCGCAAGACTCGAGCCCAGAAACTTTGGTCTTGGCCGCGAACGCCCAACCTCTGGACCACAGAGCCTGTATCTCATGGCGTTAATGTCTAACTTGGTATAGTACAAATCCTTACACAATCCTCATGTGTTCACTAATGAATGACTTGAAAGAAAAATCCTAGATGTTTTTAGTATAAAATCGTAAATGGTAGGGTTTATTTGTTTGTACAAACAGTGACATACGAATAAATATCATTAGTGATACTGAATGGGTTTTTAGTTGATCCTCCTAGTCAAAGGCATCAACCATTCTAGTCTAACAATAATATGCTTGCTAAGAAATTTGCAAAATCCCAAGTTAGATGATAATTAGCAGAATTGTTAGTACCACTTGATATGGGGACACCCGAGTGAGCAACGCTGTTATTAGGAATCGGGTGCTAGGTAAGAATGGCAGATCAATCGATGAAGTATTGAAACTTCATCAGTTGAGGTGGTTGGGACATGTGTTGCGTATGCCCAACCACCGACTGCCTCGTCGAGCCTTGTTTTGTAGTGTAGGAGTAGTTTGGAAGAAAGCTAGGGGCGGCCAAACCAAAACGTGGCAGAAATCCATGAAGTCATTGACTAGTGGACTGAGCCATGTCGGTAATTGTCGACTACCTGGTTGGGGTCCGCGAGATGATAATAATCGATGGTTAGAGACCTTGAATGACATGGCTCAAAATCGTTCGCAATGGCGCCGGTGCATTTATTCTCTGTGTTCTCTCAAATGCTAATCTTCTGGATTCTTCAATCCCTCTAGTTTCGACTCTCTAAACTTTTCTCACTGAATCATATTTCTTGAATAGTATCTTCTAATCCTAACCTCTCCGATTACTTCTAATTCCCTTACTACCTCTTCTACTATTGGATTTGAATTGACAATTACTTCTCTGTGCTGATGTGGTATGGCAACATGAACTGATGTACTTATGTACAAAGTTCTACGTTGCATCTTACTTACTACTTACTTACTTGATATGCTCACTGTGATAATCTATAAAACTTACGTGAATTCATGCATATATACACCAGTTCCATGCACTAAACATGAACCGGACACTGAATGAAGTAATTGTGAACACACATCGAATGGATTAATTATATTGATTGGTTTAAAAGTTAAATTTATCAATTGTTCTATTAGAGAATTATTTCTTATTAGAATAGTATCACGTGGACGACAGAGTTTAGGACATATGCCATCCACATCATAGCTAGGTTTTGATCCTAATATTGTACAAATCACCCAATTATACATCCATAAAACATATTCATAATTTGCAATGTATTCTTTACAGTCTGAAAAGAAAATTAACAATGAGGGGGAATCAATCATGAGATTATTGATGAAAAACAAAAAATTCCGGAATTTTGTTGTTGTATTTTAAAAAAAGACTTTTAAATTTTATATGTAAATGAGAATGACCATTATTTGTAAAATGTACTGGACTTTCTATTTAAAATTATATCTTGATCCGTAGAATAGGCTAATATGAAATGAATCAATCTTCTTCTCTTCTCAATTATGCCTATTACCATTGTGGTAGATCCATAGGTCACCCCGACCAGGATTTTCGACAACCAACTGTATCCTCAGCCTGTGCTTTACAGTTGTTCTTAAATGTTGTTCATTGGTTTATTGTTCGCTTCCAATTTTCGGCGCATTGTGTGTTCTTTGATCTTCATCTACTGCCTTTCGTTTGGATGATTGCAAATGTGTAAAAACGCAAACCTCCAAAACTGTGCCCCAAAATATTATTAATATAACAAAGGGTAGGGAATCTTATTGATTGTGACTTTTTTGGTGTCGTGTGCCGTTAAGGGTACAGGGGCGGATGCCACTTTCCGGGTGCTTACACGGTGGAAAGGTGTTTTTTCGAGTAACCTGAAAAAGAGGCTGGATTCAAGTTGTTCTTAGCTACCTGGTAGCATGAACGCAGAGCTCAAGGGAAAACTGCTTGGTGCCGATTACACACGGCGTTTTTATAGGAAGTTTATAACGTGTTTGCTTTGCTTTTCAAATGACTTAACCACCGGAAATAGAAAGGTAAGGTGTGATATTCTTAGGGTCGACTTCTGCAGCATCGCTGAAGATGCTGGTTGTTCGAGGGAAACAATTCACTGTTGTCACACCCCTCTAAAGACGACAGTACAACTTCAGCCTGAGACCATGAGATGCTGTTTTTAGACTTACCATTCTCCTGTCGACCTATTTGACACGGCAAGACCCAAAAAGAACATTTAGTCAAGCCAATATAACTCGGTTGTATAATCACGATAGGCAAACCTGACCACAATGTCAAGGTAGTGTACCTACGGCTGGGTTGGCAGGACTCTATGCGTTACACTTCAAATACCTGTTTTACTATCATTTACCAAATTGTCTTTCTAGATAATTAAACCAAGTAAAATGTTTCTTTGCTTACAAACAACCTTCAACCTGTCCATTATGTAATACAAGTTAAGAAAAACAATGTTAAAACTTAATTCAATAAACTTACAAGTTTTGTACATTAGAACTTACTTTGTTCACAGTCAAAATGTATTCTTTTCAATACTCTATAAATATCAATGAATAAAGGAAGAAACATTCTTGGTTGTAGTCGTTCACCTAATATAATATGATTTTTTGCATGATGATCACTATCCACCTCTTCATCAGTATGATGATGAACATCCTCTTCGTCTGTATACACTGTTATACTTTTCACACGCACAGGTTTCGTTTCAATCTGATGAGAATCGTATAGTATTAGAGTAGGTTCATCATTGCTGTCTAACTCTTCATCATATTGATCGATACGGAAATAATAATCATCACCAGCAACTTTTGATAATATTCTAAAGTATAAATCAAATAATGTGAATTTTTCTGTTAAAACATATGTCATTGATGAAGCATAAGCTGATTCCTTGTGATTAGAAAACCGGGAAAAAAGAGAAAAAAAAATTGACAGTGTGAAATGAGTCGATTATTGTGTTGTGATGATGTTCAATGCTAATAAGTATTATCCACTTTGTCAGATCATGTTAAGAAATGTTAGAGTTAGGAAACGGATACCAGGTCCGGATGGCAAATCAATCGATGAAGTGGTGAATTTTCATCGGTTAAGGTAGTTGGAACATATATTACGTTATGCCCAACGTCAGTCAGTCAGTCAGTTGCAACGTAGAACTTCGTACGTATGTACATAAGTTCATGTTGCCATACCACATTATTAGCACAGAGACGCAAATGTCAAATCAAATCCCATAGTGATAAAGATAGTAGAGGTATTAATGTTAATAAAGAAGACTAGAGTTCGAAGATATTATTCAAAAAATATAATTCAGTGAGATAAGATTATAAAGACAAAGGTAGAGGTATTGACGAATCCAGAAGATTAGGATTTGAGAGAGCTCAAAGAGTGGATGCACCTGCGCCATTGCAAACGATTTTGAGCCATGTCCTTCAAGGTCTCTGACCATTGATGACTTTCGTCTCGCGGACCCCAACGAGGTAGTCTACATCTACCAACATGACTCAGTCCACTAGTCAGTGACTTCATGGATTTGTGCCATGTTTTGGTCTGGCCGCCCCTAACTTTCTTCCAACCTACTCCTACACCACAAAACATAGCTCGTCGGGGCAGTCGGTGGTTAGCCATACGTAACACATGTCCCAACCACCTCAACTCATGAAGTTTCACCACTTCATCGATTGATCTGCCATCCTTACCTAGTACTCGTTTCCTAACGACAGCATTGCTTACTCGGCTGTCCCACGATATACGAGCAATGCTTCTTAAACATCTATGATCGAATACTAGTAACCTACGAACATCTTCTACTCTTAACGGCCATGTTTCACAGCCATATAAGAGAACGGAACGAACTGCTGCGCAGTACACCCGCCCTTTGGTTAGCGAACGGATATCACGCCTTCGCCATAAGTGACGCAGGTTGCCAAAGGTCAATCGAGCTTTCTGTATCCAAGCTGAGATTTCGTCAGTCACCAGACCGTCAGCACTGATGAGACTACCCAGATAAGTGAAGTGATCAACACGCTCGACTACTTCACTCCCTATCAGTTATGCCCAACGACCGAATGCCAAAACAAATGATATTTTGTGGTGTAGGAGTAGGTTGGAAGAAAGCTAGTGGCGGTCAAACCAAGAAACATGGCACAAATCCATGTAATCACTAGCAAGTGAACTGAGTCATGTTGGTAGATGTAGGCCAACCTGGTTGGGGTCCACGAGACGTACGTCTCTAATGGTTAGAGACCCTGAACGACATTGGCTCAAAATCGTTTGCAATGGCGTAGATGTATTCACTCTTTTTGGTCTCTCTCAAATTATTATCTTCGGAATTCCTCACCATCTCTTTCTTCTGATCGCTAAATTTTTTTCACTTCTTGAAAAATTTCTCCGAACCTTAATCTTCTGCTTTACCGTTAATACTTCTACTATCTCATACTACTATAGAATTTGAAGTGACAATTACATCTCTCTGTGCTAATGTGGTATGGCAACTTGAACTGAGGCACGTACGTACGAAGTCCTAGGCTATAGCTGACTGACTGGCTATCAGATCATGTGAGCATATAAAACTCATTAAAAATGATGAGTTGCCTCCCTTAAGGTTATCTACTTAGTGACCTTCAAATATAACGAATCAATCACATATGGGATCAATAGTTCCTTCTTTATCCAAAATAACCGGTTTTGAAAATAAAGGCATCAAGAGGGTTGATGGTTTATAATTTTGACTCAAAAATTCATATGATTATTATTTATATTAATTATCGAACCAGGTCGCACTACAAATAAAAACATTTGAGTAGTTGTTGATTAATGACAATTTAAAAATGTTGTAACATATTTATTAGCCCGTTATCTGACTCTGAATTTTATACGAACAATTAAATAAGCCATAAAAATAAATCTTTCATCTTATTCAGTACATTGCACCTAGGTTAACGTTGTTTGTGGAACAGTGGTTATCAGAAGCCGAATAGAGGGATTTAATAGGATGAGTGTATTTACGGCATTCGTTTATACAAAACAGACATATTACGATGATAAGCAGGAAAACGAAACGAAGTAAAGTAGGTGAAGGACGCAACTCAGTGTGATAAAGCATGACTAACTAAACTAAGCTAAAGACTTGTGACAAGTAGAGTAAACGATGAACATGTGTACACATACTCCTGAATAAAAACAGTCAAGATTAAAAGTGAATAATTACCAAGTTCAAAATATATGTCGACAAATGATGTGAAAAGAATTAGTTATTCGATATATCCGAAATCTAGAACAATTCATGTAAGATAACTCGTCTAACATCGTTTATAATCCAGGTTACCAAAATCCAAATGAACTTTCTAGGACATAACCGTATAGTTGTTGATAACTTATCGGTTGATATTAGTTACTTTAAATAATAATAAAAAAACTGTTTGCGACATTGAGACTTTTAGTTTAATTGGCTCAACACATATCGAAAATGAGAGAGGGAGAGAGCCAATCAGGAGTAGCTTAAACAGATGGTCATTTCATGATCAAAAGATATGTACTCAAGGTCGAATGCATATCATTGGTCAAAAAAATATAATTTATCTTAGAAGAGATTGAATAACCTACAGACGCTTGAGTAGCTAGTTTGAGATTTAGCACATATCATGATTAGATCTACGATAGCGTACATCATCATAAACACTAGAAAAAAAAAACTTTCCAAATCAAGATGAAAGCAACTGTACACTACAAACTTTGAAAGAAATTCACGTAATTTTAAAAAATGAACAATTAAAAAAATGCTTACTTTAATTAAAAATGTATCACCTATCATGAATTCCGTATTTAATATAGGTGGTAAAGTATGATGTGGATTAGGAAAACCATATTGTGCAAAATAATTATATGGGGCATGTAATTCCCATAATGGTTTAAAAAATGGTCCATTAAATGGACTGAATAAAGATTTATCATATGGCATCATAAATAACTCCTGATTTCTAAGTGATAATAAATCTTCTACAAACAAACTCATTGAAACATCAAGATTGTCACAATGAGCTAAATTCAAATTATATATAAACACAAGTAAAATAATGAGTGTCATTTGTTTTGGTTTCTCTTTGATTGAGGATAACATGCATGATAGAGTTATTCCGGAAAATAGGAATGAAATTTAATTTTATCGATTGATCAATAATGATTCATTGATTGATTTTTCAATGATTAACTGGCATGTTTGTTTAGGAAAATATTTAAACTACACTCACGAATGTAGATTGAATGTAGTGAATGTGAAATGTGTACTAATATGTCAAGACCGTATGGTTTATGCCGGCCTTTGAGAAAAATTAACTAATCTACTCTTCTTGAGTTCATATTTATACATATTTCGACCTTGGTAATTATTTGTTTGTGACCTAGGATTGTTATTACTTACTGTGCTTATCAACTAACTGTCTAGCTTAATTTTGTCTCACTATAATTAGTCAGTCATAGCTTATCAAATGGAGTTGGCCCACTTTCCTTATTCTCTTTGCTTTTCCGCTTCTCATTACTGAGTCTGTCTGCAAACGCTAGCGTATGAAAAAAAATTCCTCCAAATAAAAATCACACTGGGCTTCTCATTATCACCGCTGTATAAACGCAGTTCGTCTAAGAATAAATAGATGGAAACTAGATGAAAGACGTTATTCATATTCAATCGTTCGTCCGAAATGGAGTCAGATCCTGGGTCAATAAAATACAGGATTAGTCTAAAATACAGTGCTATTATTAGTAAAAGCATTAGCAGTGTATTTTACGGCCTTCAGTTCATGGGATACCTACAAAATTTTGGGCACGTCAACCTGAAATTCAAGAAGAAATGCTTGATTTAACAATGGAGAAAGGATATATTTACTAAAATATACAATAAAATGCCTTGTCGACCAACCAGTTGAGACAGGATTTAATATATGGAATTGGAAAACTGTTAAAAATAAACAAATGCCCAATGAACAGACAAGAAACTAAGCTAACCAGTGAAGTTGTTACAAGGATACATTTACAGAATCACTGAGATCAACATACACAATAACAACGGAATAACTTGTATGTTCAAAATTAACTACTGAATAATAGTCAGTAGTATGGTTAACATACAAAAAGAAAACGATTGAAGAAATCACGATGATGAAAATACTCAGGCAAAATTAATACTGAATGTATGTTATACTACTAGACAATTTGGTCCTGACTAATTTATCTTCTTTGCAGACACTGTTGATCTCCTTACCCTATTTTAATTATCATGCCTCAGAAATCATTAGCTTCAGATTGAATCCAATTGGTAAATCACTACAACTTGACCTGAATGAATCAAGACTGTCAAACTTAGTAACACCGGTTCGAATCCAAAAGTTAGCAGAAATTCATGTATAAATACCCGCTTCATGCTGTGTTTTTTATTTTATTATTTCATCTGGAGAAACCAAATTTATTTAGTTGTTGAGGATGTTAGATCCCCGAAATTCGCTTGATAATGCCGTATTTTGGTTTTCACGTTTTGCCAGCATGGGCTGATCAGACGACCTTGAGATTTCAATTCCCACCAGGAAAATCCATGGCTGTGATTGGCTGCTGTGTATTTTAGTGTGCTATTTTCTTAACTGTCTCAAGGACGTTTCTATGTTGTATAAATAAACGAGAGTTGTATGCTTGATTGTACTATGATTGCTGGGTGTTTGTAGAATATACTTTTTACGCGTACAAAGCCTTTTATTTCGACTTTGGTTATTCAAGGTAGCCTCCCTGGAAGCTAGTGAAAGTCTCGTTCGCGTTTATCGACTAAGGTAAACTCGTAATAGCCTCAAGCATACTAAGTGACGAACTTATCATTAGTGTACTTAGAAAAATTTCACAGATATTCCGAAATTGACGACGTTTTCGTCCGTAACAGCTTTCAGATGGAGAATACCAAGACCCAATCAGAGCAGAAGTTAGGAATAGGGGGTACTGAATGTATATTTGATATGCTGAGAGGTGAGCGATCCAAGCAGGCTAGTTGGTACGAAAGTATGCGAAGCATAGTGTACTGAATAGTGATCTGGTGTGAACGCATGAAGCCAGTTACTAGCGAGAACATGATGATGGTGATATTTAGATAACATCTTTGAAAGTTGACCTCAAAAAGTACACTTTCATGGTATTTGGTGGACAAAAAAAATAAAGTCGATTTCTATTCCAACATCCTAAAAATATTGTGGAGAGCTGGTTTTGAATCACATTTAGGCAATACAGTCTTTTTCTATTCAGTAAACTGAACCTACACTTTTGACAGAATATCCTCATATACTGGAATAACTGACCAAATTTAGCTCAAAAGTTAGTTGTAGCAGGAGTAACGCATACTTGTGTGAAGGAATTCTAGGGATAGCACAGTGAAATCTTTCTACATTTAGTTTGATCAAGTCAACTAAGAGCGTCTCATTACCTAAGTTAATCGATTGCAAATAGTGGGTGATAATATCTTACTCTGGTTATCATTATTATTATCTTGTGAAACATTTCAAATATTAGCGGTTTAAATGATAACAATTTAATTTTGAACAATATAGTTCATACGAACATATGTGACCTTGAATTACGTTTATGTAAATCATCTCGTTTTAATGTAGTGTTTTTGTTGGTTAGTTACCTCAATAAATACAGAGAGGTAAACTAATTATTCACATATCTGTGCTTCATTATTCAGGTAAACAAATTGGAAGTAATCGAGATTTTGTGGCGTTTGCACTTACTTGTGTTAACAAATCCAAGTCAGTCAACACCTGAATACTTGAACAATTCTGTTCATGTAAAATGCCATGAGAATCATTGTTAAGAATTATCTACAACTAGATTTTGATCAGAAATTTTGTAGATGGTTAACAGAACAAATTCATCAAATCAACTTAGATGTTTGGATGAAAAAGTGTAATTCATATTCGTTATCTTATTTTACTAGGCTGTTAGCACCTGTTTACATTTTATAAAGCATAGGTATCCATTATTGTTTCATTCGTCATTTCGTCGTTAATTGAAAAACAATATTCTCCATTTATTATACACCTTTATGACTTATTTTCCTTGTTCACTAATAACTCTTATCAAAGCCACCAATCACAACTATCGATTTTTATGACCTTGTCCCTGAGTGAACCAATGACTCAACAACCAGCAATTGTAACTTTAAGTCACTGCTACGTCCTTATCGGTGCTTGATTCAGTAACCTATCTCTCTGTTCTAACCGTGAAACCTTGAACAGAGTAATCAGCTTTTATTATAAAAATCATATATTATAAACATACAATACATTCCTTATATACCAGACACATTCGACCGCATTACATTAAAAATAACATGAACGAGCCAAAAAATGGCCGCGACTAAGGGAAACAGTAACGAATTATCAACTAGCAGCAAAATAAGAATATTAAACTACTGTATAATAATAGTTTATGCGTTGATTGAAAGCTTCTGATAAAAGAAATCTAATATAGACCTGATATTCTAGGTTACTTAATAATTACACAATAAGTCTATACACAATAATAATCCATAAGTTGGTCCTTTAAGTTACTGTTTACCCTATTCTTATATTCTGATATAACATATCTAAATTGTCATTACTAACTACTTTTAAAACTATTATGTGACTTCTGTTCGGTACTTCAAACTTTTCATTACTTTATGAAATGATACAGCAACTCTAAATTCACTAAACAAAAACATTTGTACAATTATCTATAAATCCAAGATAGTACAATCCAAATGAATGGTATCGTTGAACATTGAATATTCTGGTTGAACCATGCTCATCATTTCATTGCAAATGTAATTTACTATCTTGTTACGCTTGACACTCTTCATTGATTTGATGAGGCCTGAGTGATTTTTTTTCATTCACATGTCAATTTCACCTAACAGGGAACATATACATATGTTAATTCCATTGAAGCATCTGATTAGATATCAAGATTACGCGCGAAATTCTAGAATTCATAATAAAGGAGCTGATCTGTAAAGAGGTAAGTAATATCATTAGCAAAATATATCCTAAGTAGCTTACTTAGGACTGTTACCCCATGTAGATCATAGGTCACCGGTCAGGATTCTACAACAAACTCTATCCTAAACTCTCCTGTTCAGCTGTTTCTGATTTCTAATCGTTCTTTTCATGCCTGTCTCTAATGCCCAACTCAAAAAATTGTTTTTTAGTCCAATAATTTACTTTTAACCTTGAGAACTCTAAGTAAGAGCCTATCACGTGATGCAGCCGGGTAATTTCGTCCATGTATGTCCTATCCGCTTATAGTGCTTTTCCTTAATTTCTTCCTTGGGTTGGAAGCTACTAACCTCTATTCCTGTAATATCTAAGGTATTTTTAGCGGCAATACAAGTAAGGCGAAAGTTGATACCTGAAATAATTGTACGTAAATTATTGAAAGTGTTAAATATTTTTTTTATAGTATAACGAGCAATTGTTTCCGAAGTTACAGTCGATACCAACAAAAGAAACGGAATTGATAGGTACAAAAATTTGGAAAAGACTAAACAAAGTTCCAAGGAACAAATAAAATTTTAAGAAACTGTTACAAATCCTAATGTGTTTCAGTGACAGCAATAACGAATGAACACTACAAATTTATGTAAATACCTAAGAATGCTACATATTAACTAAGAACCATGCAGCATTGTTTTGATTGATGATGAATTAACTACTAAATACTAACAAGTAGTATAACGTAATATACAAAAGATTATAGATTATATATATATATAATCTATATATATGTATAAATTATAGATTACATAACTGGTGTGTTGAGCTATTGCTAAAATGTTCGGTCGAGTATATTATTCATCAATGTCCGTTAAGAGGAACAACATCAGTATCAATGTCAAATAAATTACACAGATATTTATTTTACGGTTTTATCTACTAAAACGGATAAAGTAAACATCTAGTGACCACACTCATCAAATCACACTACAGTTGACCTTGTGGTCTGATCGATTTTTTTTCTACATACCTATTGCGAACACGCATACACACACATCAACATACAGACAATACTACCTTCTTACAAATGAATTGTCAGCAGAAAATCAATAAGGCTATAAAGTCACTAGATTAGTTCGAAAGAATTCCATACACTGACAATGAAACAATTGTACAGTAGATATTATTTAGTTTTTTTTTCAAAAGGTTATTGTACCACAAACAAGGGACAAACAGTATTGATTTTCATCTTGATAAGGTTATGCCATTGTGAATAGAAAAGTGTACACAATTAATCGATACGTTTTGGAAGGCAGTTGCCATTAAAAATGATAGTAGAGGGAAAGAATATTAAAAATAAGAGTGTAATCAATGTTTTTTAAAGTACGTGTAGGGAATCGAACCCAGTATCAAGTCATCATCATCAGTCACTGTGTTAGAACTCATCAGTTTGGGTATCTCAACTTCAATCAACTCGCAATTTTCTACACTTAATGACATGTACGATTGTTTTGATCCACCCTGATATGAATAAACTGTTAAAGTAGTCGGACTAAAACATCTAACTCACAGAACGAAACTCCATCGAAATCAGTAGCTCATTCATGCACTATAAATAGATCCAGACAGACGAAAAATTCTTGACATTAAAGAAGAATAGAACCTAAATTATTGATGAGACTAATTCTAAAGCACTAGATATGTCTTATTAAGACTTGAGATCCCAAAAAGCATAAGGCCTATAAAATTAGCAACTATAACAACCAACTTTAGTTACCTGTGAAGAAAGTAGGATTTCTTTTTGTTAACCAAAGGATGATTATATTGAATAGCAGTTTGTTCTGTTCTATTTAATGGCTAATAAACATGGATTTCAGAAGTAAAGGGCATTTGTAGTTTACCGGCATTCGGTCGCAGACGCCTTCAAAGCATTGCTCATATACATTGGGAGCACTGAGTTTGCAATGTTGTTGCTAGTATCCGACAAATCGGTTGATGAAGTACTAAATATTAGTCAAGATAGTTGGGATGTATTACAATTGCTCAACCATCACTTGCCTTGATGAGCGATTTCGTCTAGCGTAGGATTAGATTGGAGGAAAACTAGGAAAGGACTAACTCATGAAGTCATTTACATTCACCTGGTCAGAGTCCGTGTAATTATCATTATCAGTGGTTAAAGACTTTTATGTGAATTATGTCAGGATTGGTCACAAAAACACAAGTACTCTCACATTTTGTAAATCTTTGGATCGTACTCTGCAAGTTTATTCGTTCTTCGACAATGACAATGACCATACTCAATACTGTTATTACTTCCATAAACTTTAACATTTCCCTTGGTTTTATTTCGCCCTAGAATGCTCTGCTACGGTTGAGAGTAAAAAAAAGTCCGTTCTGCCCCTCAAAATATGCTCTCCTTTAACCTATGTATAAAGCTACTGTCAAGGGAGTTCTAATTACTGGTTTCTCATGGCAGGAGTATTGATTACGAAATTCCGAGATTGAAAAGCGAATATCCGTTCAGAGCTTAAAAACGGGTTGTTGGATCTACATAGGGGAGTTGGAAAACAATGATTTCAAGCCAATAACAGATTGTCCACATAGCTCCAGAAACCTGAAGAAACAAATGGTCTATGGACTTATTGTTGGCGACGGGCTACCATGTCCTGTGGACTAGACTCCTAAGTAAAAGGCTCAGTAAGTAGCCTCCTAAGAGAAAATAATTTTCTTTAGTTAGAGCAGCCGGGTAATATCACGGCCTATACACGCAAATTCACTGATTGGTGTGGTGCAAAAAATATTCACATGCCTCTTTATGCTAATAATCAAATTTAAACAAATTTATCCAAACTCTAAGATTGATAATTTCATTTTGCTGTACTGATTGATTGATATAAGGTATGAAAACAACTTGAATCGGACACAAACAGGTTGTACATTTTCTACATTGCTCATAATTGATCACATTAAAACAATACTCATTTACAATCAAGTATGTTTATTTACATAGCTAGAACAATGAATTATTATTACCTGTGTACACGCACATACACATACACACACGAACAGTAGCAACTTGTATGATTTAAAATCCTATAGGAAATATTTGCACAAGTACAAACAAGTAAAGCCCGTTGGTTTACAAGGCTAAATTCTAAACAGAATAAGAGAGAGTACAAGGAAAGAGATACATAAAGTTGAACTATTCTACACAGAGACAGAGAGAGAGAGAGAGAGAGTAAAGAAAGACACCGTCATCGTCATCATCATCCAGAGATATGCACAATAAATATTCTAATCCACTTGTGTTGTTTCTAACATGTGAATCTCACCTAAGCAGAACATTTCATCGACCCCAAGAGTGTGTGTGTGTGTGTGCGTGTGCGTGCGTATACATGTTCAAGTACTTGTATATTAATTACTAAATATTCTATGAACGGAATATGAACGGAGTGCATTGTAAAATTAGCAACAAAAAAAAAGAAATGATCGATTGGCGTTAATTAATTGAACAATAAATATACTAATAATATATATATTTTTTTCTAATTAAATAAGAAAAAGTGCTGGATTCTCTAAGATTTGTTTGAATTCACTAAGCCAAGCAGCACCTATCGCTCCATCGACAACACGATGATCACAGCATAATGTAACTGATAGAATATTGGCTGATTTAAATCTATCAAAGTGAAACAGGATATAAGAACATGAGAAATAGAAATGAACACAAACTACTTATAAATAATAGCAATAATAATGATAATAATAATAATAATAATAGTAATAATATCGTTAACTTATATTTGAAACCATGAATCGATCAATGTTGGACCAGCATTAGAAACCTAGAAGCAGTGGACGGCCGTTTCGTCCTGGTATGGGACTCCTCAGCAGTGCGCATCCACGACTTCTGCACCCAACAGGATTCGAACCCAGGACCTTCGGTATTGTAGGCGAACGCCTAACCATTGGACCACAGAGCCGATATCTGACGGTATTAATGTCTAACTTGATCAAATCACGGAGTTACGCGCAACCTCATACACAGTCTTCGGTAGTTACTGTCTGCACCCGAACAGGTTGAACTTCACTGGTCACGTCCTCCAACTAGAACTCGGAGATCCCTTACGAAGCTAGTCACTAGTGAGCACAGGTGCAGGAGTCGTGGATGCGCACTGCTGAGGAGTCCCATACCAGGACGAAACGGCCGTCCAGTGCTTCCAAGTTTCTAATGGTGGTCTAACATTGATCGATTCATGGTTTCAAATAAAACTTAACATATGTTTATTGACAGATGAACTATGACCGAATAGGAACACTCTGTGTAGAGTCGACTTTGAACCAATCAGAGCTAGTGAATGAATTTATGTAGATGTTATATTGGGGGCGTTAGATTTCCAGAAACTGTTTGGAAAAAGACTTTTAATTTTGTAAATTATGCATAAAAATTTAAGTTTTTTTATTCATAAGCAAAAAAGAGTGCCTTATTACTTTCAGTTTGTGTTGCACACCTGGAAGGACGGTAAACATCAACTGGTTTGTTTTTGCTTTTTAGTAAACTATTTTGTAACTCATTCAAAGACGTTTTTTGTTTTGTATATATTGAGTGTTTATTTGTTCGGTTCATTCTAGGCTGCTTGCGGAGTAAGACAATTTTCCTGTTGCACAGAGAGGAAAAGCTTAATTTGTCTTGTTACTGTGATGCTAGTTATATGTACCGTTCGCTGATACCGAGCTGTATCTTAATTATCACAGTTATAGCATGTTGCGATATTCTTATATATATAGCCATAAAAAGTCTTTTTGATAACAAGAAAGTTCACATTTTTACAACAACAATAAACAATCTTGATGCTTTCAGTGAATGGACGTTGTCAATATGAACCATAAAACTTGTATTTCCTACCAGTTGGTAGTCTTCAGAAAGATCTACACTTTCCGACTAAAAGGGAATGATGTTAACTGTGACTCAAGAAAACCACACCCATATCTGGATGTGGATGTACCTATCAAATATTCACACTTCGTTAGGTCCTACTACGACATGCTGGTAGAAACCTAGAAGTGGCCAAAACAAAACATGGCACAAATCCATGAAGTGATTGACAACTAGACTGAGCCATGCTACTTGGTTGAGGTCCGCGAGACAATAGTAACCAATGGTTAGGAGACTTTGAAATGAAATGGCTCCGAATCGTTTACAATGACGCAGGTGCATCCATTATTTATCTTCTCGCAAATTGTAATCTTCTGAATTTCTCATGACTTATTTTCACTTTTGAAATTTACTTAAATGTGATATACTTGTCAAATCTTATCTTCCAACCCTAATCTTCTCGATTACTGTTGATACTTCTACTACCTCTACTACTATGAGATTCGCAGTGGCAGTTCGTGCAGTAACTTGAACTGATGGACGTAGATGCATCAAGTTCTACGTTGTAGTTGACTGACTGACATTACATGAATACGAGATTGAGTGTACGTTTGTATTTTGCCATTAATTTTGTTTAGCCTAATTCACAACAATCAAGATTAAATCTAAAATACAAAAATAGAACCTATTGCAAACTTGATAAAAAAGCGGAGCCTGTGACATGTGAACACACACATACATACTAAACTTCTCAACAATGAAACATAAGAAGGCAACAGTCAAGAAAGGGGAACCTGACATTCAATGAAAGCTAAACAAATGGGGTGGCCGGACCAAAACATGGCACAAATCCATGAAGTCACTGACTAGTGGACTGAGTCATGTTGGTAGATTTAGACTACCTGGTTGGGGTCCGCGAGACAAAAGCTACCAATGGTTAGAGACCTTGAACGACAAGGCTCAAAATCGTTTGCAATGGCGCAAGTGTATCTATTCGTTGTGCTCTCTCAAATCCTAATCTTCTGGATTCGTCAGCACCTCTACCTTTGTCTTTCTAACCTTATCTCACTGAATTATACTTCTTGAATAATATCTTCGAACCCTATTCTTCTTCATTACCATTAATACCTCTACTATCTTTATCACTATGGGATTTGATTTGACATTTGCGTCTCTGTGCTAATGTGGTATGGCAACATGAACTTATGTACATACGTACGAAGTTCTACGTTGCAACTGACTGAAACAAATGGAACAATTCTGCATATTTGGGAACATGAAAAATTGATAAACCAACTGTAGTGTCATCCAATCAGAAAAGAGCAGAGGTCGTGAAGAATTGCGGAATTCAGAAAATTGTACGCGTGTTTTTAATTATCACAAGAAAAAACCAAACATTTATCTACTAGAAAGACTGAATATCAGTATGGCGTTGTGGAGATTGCTGAATTTCATAGAGATCATGAACTAATTTAAATTAAACAACCATCAAAAACTCAAAAGCACTGGACAGCCATTTCATTCCATTATGGGACTCATCTGAAGTACGTATCCACAACCCCATATTGATAGTTATTATTTGCTCACTAGTGATTAACTTCGAAAGGAAATGTGAGAAGTTTTGGTAAAAAGCAATGACCAGTAAAATTCAGTCATACCGGTTGTGAGATACTCACGGCGATCATAAAGTATCTCTGATCGACACAAGTTAAACTTGTACACTGCTGGATCCTGGTCCAGTGGTCCAGAATTTAAACGTTCCTATACGAGACCGAAGGTCGTGAGTTTGAGTTCCGATGGTGGGATCCTAGATGAGCACTACTAAGGAGTTCAGTACTAGGTACTCTCATTTTGTTCAATGAATTTCTAACCTAGGTCAGTTTGTGACCCCAACAAAAAAACATATTTGATAAAAATTTACCCTTTAGGATTGTTACTGTCTGGTAGAAGTTTCGGTCTAGTACTACCTACAGCAAGAATACATGCTTGAGGTGGATTGATTACAGCGCAGAAATTGGAAATTCCAAACATGCCCAAATTGGAAATTGAAAATGTTCCACCCTTTAATAATTAGAAAACAATAGATTAATAAAAATATTAAGGTTTGTATTATCGATATTTGTTAAGATGCGCGACATACGAGATCTGGACGTGAAATGCCTCAAACTGGATACTTGAACGGGGAGGGAAAAGAAAACCTATTTGGCTACCGAATAATGTATGTATGTATATATATTCTTTCCCCTTAGAAAATGAATTAATTTCTTGACCATTGATACACATTCGTACTTCAGGACATTTTTGAATGTCATCAAAAAATCTACTTGTTTGGCCATTCCTGATTGGCTCACTATGTCACCTTTCTTTTCTGAAAAAATCCGAGCCCCTCTATTTATTGGGAGAAACTGATGGGATTCACGTTTCCTCGATGATCTTCTTGGTGTCTTGCTGTAACACCTTCTACAGTGACCTCTATGCTCCTTACTACCTGTAGCAACCAGGCAATTTATTGGTAAATTGGGGCTAAGAAAGTTCTTTAGTCGAATTTAGTTGTCTTTTCTCAATGGAGATCCACCGAACCCACCAACTCAGTTTAGGCGTTTGGCATTCGCTTTTCATTCTCTCAATTTCATAAATTATAACCTTGCCACATGGAGGCAGTGAGTGGGGTTCCCCTAAGTGGCTGGCTATACATGTTTAGCTATATGGGAGCATTTGCAGAGAGAGCGGACTATCCATACTCTTAGCCATATAAGAGCGTTTGTAGCTTAAAATATGGAATGAAATGCACCTAAAAATCCTCGACAATAATGTAGAGGTGTATTTAGTCAATTATTACAATGCGCCAATGTCTTTTTTTTCCTGAATATCCAAGTCTTTAAATCACATTCGCCAAGTTCTTTCTATACTGTACGCAACTGATTGAATTTACTTTTACACCTACCAGTCCCAAGGTCAAGTAAAAGATATGAACATAGGTATGAGTGGCCCCATCTCGTAGAAATAACCACTTAAACGGTGCCCTGAGAATTTGGAAGGTTTTCACTGACAAGATTTATGATATCTCATAGTGAAAACCCGAGATTCTATGGCAGCCAAAAGGCCAAATATCTCCCTTCGAACAACCAGTCAGTGGTCTATGCTCCAGGGAAGATAACAGGCTTAAGTAAAAGTAAACAGGTTAGTTCAAAGAATAAGTAATCACTATTATTGAACAAAAACTCCACATGAAGCCCTTCTGGAGAGGGTTAGTGCCGGTTCCCAAAGCCCGAATAAAGGAAGAAGGAGCGCTGGGCATGGGGTTAACGACCTCATCTCGTAGAAAACCAACTCACTAAAAAAAAACGCGAACGCTATATATAAATGACACAAAGTTTACATTGTGAATAAAAATTAATGCCAGTGAAAGAAAAGAAAAAATCAGCTTTACTTGATATTCTTGAGGTTGCAATTTATTCTGTTTAGCTTTAGTTACTAGCGTTTTCATTTCTTTATTGATTTGTACTAAACCCTTGAAAAAATTAATAATGATAATAATAATAATGATAAAAGAGAGGATGAATAAAAACTTGCAAAACATTATGAATTGAAATATTGTAAGGATATATCAGAAAAAAATTCTAAAACGCACTCTATTCTGCCATACACTTACCGTGAAACTTCATTATTTGAGGTGGTTGAAACATGTATTACGCATGCCCAAATACCGATTACCCTAACAAGTGATGTAGGGGCAGACTGGGAAGAAGTTAGGGGGGGGGGGCTAAACCAAAACATGGCACAAATCCATGAAGTCACTGACAACTGGACTATGCCACGTTGGTAGATGCAGACTACCTGGCTGGGTTCGGCGAGACAATAGTAACCGATGGTTAGAGACCTTGAATGAAATGGCTCAAAAACGTTTGCAATGGTGTAGGTGCATCCGTTCTTTGGGTTCTCTCAAATTCTAATCTTCTGAATTCCTCATAGCTGCTTTTATTCTCTCTTTTCTATTTTTAGACTGACTTCTCTGGGATATACTTCTGAAATATCTTCGATCCCAGTCCTTTTTGATTACCGCCAATACTCCTACTATCTCTACTACTATAGGATTTGAATCGACAGTTCGGTCTCTGTGTGCTAATGTGGTATGGCAACTTGAACTGATTTACGTACGTACGAAGTTCTAGGTTGTAGCTGACTGACTGGCTGATTCAATCATAGTTGATGTAGTAGAGTCTGTTATTGAGGAAATCATCATGTTAATCAGTCAGTAAGTCAGTCAGCTAGCTACAACGTAGAACTTGGCATGTCTATGTGCATCAGTTTAAGTTGCTGCTGTCAAACCACATTAGCACAAAGAATTGTCAATACAAATTCCATAGTAGTAGAAATATTAACGGTAATATGAAAAGATTAGAGTTGAAGGATATGAATCGGGAAGTTGCAAACCAGTCACGTAAATTTCACCATGTTAACAATACTTATATTGTGTAGGTTGTGTGTTAAGTCACATAAGAGATGAACTATTTCGTTGTACAAATGAATGAAGCAATCATCTCGTAACACTTTGGTTAATAAATTAAGTTGAGGTTTCTATGTAAGTCACTTAATAAGATTTCATGTGAGGAATCAATTAGCTGATAAGATATGAATTACCCTATAATAATAAACCAAACAATAAGTGTGTTTAGAATGATCACAAAAATTTTATGATTCAGTCAATTTGGTTCAGTTGATCAGTCAGCAACAACGTAAAACTTGGTACATACGCACATCAGTTCAAGGAACCATACCACATTAGCACAGAGAGATACAATTGTCAATTCAAATCTTATAGTGGTAGTTGTAGTAGAAATATTAGTTGTAATGGAGGAAAGATTACGGTTCAAAGATATTATTCGAGAAGTATAATCCAATGCAATTATTAATTTGAGGAGAGAAAGATGAAGGTCATGAGGAATTCAGATTTGAATTTGAGAGAAAACAAAGAATGGATGCACCTGCACGCCATAACAAACGATTTTAAGCCATGTCATTCAGTCTCCTTGAGTGAATAGAGAGTCCTAAATATCATGCTATTCGGTGGATTGAGACGTTAACAAATACGAATAAAAAAGGAAACCAGTGATAACCCTATAACAGTTTTTAAATATTCTTGATACATATACGATCCACCTACTAACTGAATGGAATCCCTTGATGGTTGATTTCTTAATTAAACTGTCAATCTGTCAGTAAAAAGTAACGTAGAATTTGGCGCGTGTATACGTCAGTCTGAGTTATCATATCTTATTAGCAAAGGGTGATGGTATTTTTAAGATTAAACTCAGAGTAGTAAACGTAGTAACAGAGATACAATTTGAAAGAATAAACATTTTTACGAAATTTAGAAACTGAGGATCTAAAGGTAGAGTGAATACACTTGGGCCCACGCAAACGGTTTTGGTTAAAATAATCACCTGAACTTTAACCAGGTAGTCAGTCTGTATACAGCTGTATAAGTCAGTAAAACAGTTGGTGTCTTCATAGACCGATGGCATGTCTTGGTTTGACCATCTGTAGCTTTCTTCAAGCCAACTCCTAATTGAATTGTAGATTTTACAAAATACATATTTTATCGTTTATTTATCGACCCTTTTTGCATGTATCACTTCATTATCATGCCAATGTACGTGGAACATCTGTTTGGCTATACTTCATGTTTAATGTGTTATGGGAAAAAGTCAAGGTTGCTTGCTGTAATTAACCAAAAAATATATAGTTCCAGTATGAATCTGTCCACTTTCATTGATTTATCTAAACATACACGCATACATTTAGAAATTAGAGGAGAGTCAATCAGTCAGTTAGACACACAGACCGAATAGGATCCTTCATTAATGATTAGTTGTACTCAATCTCTTGTTACATTCAAAGTACGACAGGATAAAACATAAATCAGTCGGTCAGTCTTAAACGAATTACAGAATTATCAAGTTGATCGATATATATATATATATATATATATATGCAGTTCAGCGTAATGAGAATATTCCACAATTAAATTCATACATACCTTTGAATCAGCAGAAAAGATAATCGGTGTGATTAATCCAGCGGGAATAGCTACAGCTACACTTACATCGACAGAGTGATATCTACAAATAGAGTATAATAAAGAATTAAAAAAGATGAGATAAACGGAAATTATTATGGGAAACTGGAATTATTTATGAATTTGTGTTACTCTCAGTGATCATATATATATATATATATATATATGTTGTACTTAACCACTGTCTACCTCGAAAAACTATGCTTCGTAGAGTAGAAGGTTGGAAGAAAGCTAGAGGATACTAAACGTGATAACGTGGTAACAGTCAATGGAGTCGATAACTGTCGGTCCGAGTTGTGTTTCTAGATGCAGACTACCTGGTTGGGATCCATATGATAACCGCGATCACTAATTAGAAACTTTAAGTGATATGACTCAGAACTGTTAGGAGTTGTACAGCATTTTCCAACCTACTCCTTCCTGGGCCTTCCTTTCTAGCCCTGTCTAACTGTTGTTCATTCTCCTCATGTCTGCCTCCATTTCTCGACGTAATGTATTCCTTGGCCTTCCTCGTTTCTGTTGGCAAGGGGGTTTCGGGAGAGGGCTTGCCCTGTGATTCAGTTGGTTGCTTTTCTCAATGTGTGTCCTATCCATTTCCAGTGCTTCTTCTTGATTTCTTCCTCCGCTGGAATATGGTTTGTTTTCTCCCACAATAGGTTGTTGCTGGTAGTGTGAGAGAGAACAAACCAGATTTTAGCGGAGGAATAAATCAGCAGCTTGGGCTAAACATATCTGTCCTACGATCTACGCTGATGTCTGTTTACAAATGCACAATTATACATGCCTGTTCTAGCTACCTAAACCATATACACAGTCTAAAAAGTATTAAAAAGTTGGTGACTACATGTCAGAATCAAGTTTAGTTACAACTTACGAAACTTCCTAATCGAAATTTATGAATATTCATATTCATATTCAGCATAGATCAGTCGATCTACCATAGTTTTAAGATAGTGACTACCGACTATATACAACTTCATGTTAGCAACTCTAAATGTGAATATTTTATAGCCACATAATACAGAAAAGTCCACTGCTGTAGTGTATGCTTCTTCTAGACAAATTGTCTGTGCTTGTACCAAGATTTCGAACACTGGTATTATAACGAGCCCCCAAAAGCCCTGGAGTGACTGAGAGTGGAGAGAATCGCTCTCACTCCAAATACTTTCACATGGCCAAGCGTGTATAGCCACTGTGAGGGAAGTCCTACTCACTGTTTTCACATGAAAGGGGTTTTTGTTTACGAAGTTGAGATGAAAAGCGAATATCCGACCAAAGTTTTAACTGGGTTAGTAGGTAACATGGATTCACCAAGTGAAGTTGCAAAACTCCGATCCCAAATAATGGTTCACAAGGAATCCATGGCCTTGGGGGAAAAGTGGCGTATGAACCAATCGTTGGTTACTGGCTACCATAGGACCGCATCTCCTGACATAGCTCCACTGTCTAGTGGATTAGACCTTTAGGTTAAAGGTTTGAGGAGTGGTCTCCTAAGAAGACCACCTGCTTCAATCTAGGCAGCAGGGCAGTATCCCAGCCCATGTACAAATTCATTGGTTCGTGTGGAGCATAAACATATAGATGTTTAAATAGTAATAATAACAAGGCTAGTAGTACACAATATTGATTTCTCTCCACCAATCGTCCGTGAAATGAAATCATATTAGTAAAATCTGTTGGTCATACACGGCTAATTTGATGATATTGTATATCTGTGATTATTCAGTGTATTATTAATTAACTGATATTGAATACCACTGAATACAATCTATACAAATCTAATTCTATCTAAATTATATAAAAATTACTGCATTCAGGTAATATTTTGATTAACTGTAGTCGATGACAGTTTTTGTATCATCACTTTGGTCATCCAACTATAGTATTTGAATTGACAATTGCATCTCTGTACTAATATGGTATGACAACTTGAATTGATGTACGTACGTACATAGTTCTGCGTTGTAGCTGACTGACTTTGGTTGTCCAACTTCGGATTCAAATATTCAGTAATAGGAAGACAGTTAAGTGATTTAGAAGTATAACAACTTGAGTCAATTTTTTAAAGTGCTTTATCATCCACTCATTACGAAACTTTGATTGTTTTTTCTTGACAACATCATCATTACAAGTTTTAATAAGAAGTAAGTTATTAAGGTCTCTTCCCTCCAAAACTGGTTCGTGACTATCCATAGGTGTGTGGCTGTCGTTCGTCAGTTTATTATTTTTAATGCATTCCACCTTGAACGTCATCACTCTGATCTTCGAAAAATTCTTCTCCTGGGCTAAAAAAAATATTCTTCATCACCTAACTCTAGAACTAAATGTCAGACTATTCATATAAAATAGTCAATCATAATAGACATACCAAATTTAAATTTCTGACGAAAATAGATAGATATAAAACAGTTTACCTAGTAGCGTTATATGTATTACAAACAGCTTAATGAAGAAAATAAGTCATAAATCTTAGAAATCATTACATAAAACATATGAATGACATAATTTACATAACTTACCGTCGAATAAAATCACCTTGCCAAGATGAATTACACTCGGGTACTTTTAAACATGTCAATGAAGCTGCTTTTATAAGAATATCATTTAAACTGATTTTTGATATAGGTTCATCAGATGTTGATTTGTTTAAATTAGACAAATTTGAATTGATTTTAGAACGTATTTCTAGAATTTCATCGACTTGAATGTCCATTGTTAAATAATAATGTGGAATAGTTTGTTTGGATTGAGTTAATCGTTTAGCAATTACCTAAAATGAAAAAGAAAAAAAATCATACAATTTATCTAGTGTGAACTTCAGATGTTATCTTGTTTAAGTATTGTGTATTTTTGAAAGTCAAAATGTGAACAGAGATCTTCTAAAAGAATCCCAATGTATATTTCTTTTATTAAACGAAATGGAAGTTAAAAAAAATCAACCATAGGCTTTGATACACCGATTACATTACCATAACATATGGAAGATTGTTACATATGAGTACCTGCTTATTGAGAGGTCCACAATTAAAAATAATTTCTCCAACCTATTTATTTCATGTAAACAGGGATACAAATGACAGAGTAGAATATTTGGATTAATTTTAGTAACTAACAGAGCAGTCAAATTCTTTGTCTTAGCTTATATCAATTAACTTTCAAGTGTTATCACATACTCTCTCTCTCTCTCTTGCTCGTATCGATACGATTTTAAGATCAGTGATTAATTAAACTCTTAGCATTATTTCAAAAACAAACCGAGGATTAACTGGACTGTAAACATTTTAGTCTGATTAAAGTTATTCTTAATAGATCTTTACACCCTATTAGGTGCACATTTTTTAACGAAAGCATCAGGAAAGTAAGTTATACTTTTTGAAATCGATTAAAACTTTTCATGGCCACACGAGGATATAAACAGTAAATACAAAGATAGATGGCAATGAAATAAGACCTAGCACAAATAGACAACAATTTAAGATGTTGCATCATCTCATGCAAACATATAATTGAAGCCAACACAGATGATAAACAAGTGTTTTGTAGTGTAGGAGTAGGTTGGAAGAAAGTTAAGGGCGGGCAAATCAAAACATGGCAGAAATCCATGAAGTCATTGACTAGTGGACTGAGCCATGTCAGTAATTGTCGACTACCTGGTTGGGGTCCGCGAGATGATAATAATCGATGGTTAGAGACCTTGAATGACATGGCTCAAAATCGTTCGCAATGGCGCCGGTGCATTTATTCTTTGTGTTCTCTCAAACCCTAATCTTCTGGATTCTTCAACACCTCTAGTTTCGACTCCCTAAACTTTTCTCACTGTATCATACTTCTTGAATAGTATCTTTTAACCCTAACCTCTCCGATTACTTCTAATTCCCTTACTACCTCTACTACTATTGGATTTGAATTGACAATTATATCTCTATGCTGATGTGGTATGGCAACATGAACTGATGTACTTACGTACCAAGTTCTACGTTGCATATGACTGACTGACTGACTCTTATTAGCACAGCATTCAATGAGAGAAAAGCAGTGAAAAACAGATAATGAAAAGTTTAGAATAGTATAAGTTAAGAATCTAAAAAAGAGATTCGTCAACCAATAAGTGTATGTATTTCATCTGATCTACTTAGACTAAAAATTCAATAACATCTATGAACTGAAATTAAATCTTTGTCAGATTACTCGTATAAGTGTAACTGCCAAACAAACAACGACACCCAAACTAATTTTGTTTTAGGTGTTATTTCTGAGGATGAATTTTGTGTTCAAATCTACAGGTATCGTTTCATACGAAATCCACCATGATCTGTTGATGTGCCTTGGAAACTTGGACTGATGTATAATATTAGTCAAATTCTATATCAAGAAAGTTCATGTTTTTTAACAATTTACTGATGTAACATTCAGTTATTCGCTTTATGCACACTTCATGTTTTAACATAATCATACTAAACATATCATCGAACTAAAATACAAATTGACCTAAGGAATCTGTAAACATACTTTTTAACCACAAACTGTTAATGTTAACAGAACCATTCATACTTACTGATCGCATGTTGCTAACATCAATATCTTCGAATTTTCCACTCATTGAAATTTGACTAGCCGTTGTACTAGTTTTAACAGCGGGTGCAGCACCTAAGTCAGTCGAACGAATCATTCCATCCATACCAGTACCAACTAACTGTCTCAAATCAATTCCTTCTGCAGCAGCTATACGGCGTGCAAGTGGAGAGGCAATAATCCTTTCTCCAGTTGCTGTTGCTTTGGGAGCAAGAACAACAGGTTTCGGTGTAACAGGAGGGGACTGAAGATCAGGAGCAGGAGTAGTCGGAGGCTTGGGAGCTTCTGTAGTTTTTGAAGCAGAAACTTGTTTCTGAAGAGAATTTAAAAACAAACTCGGCTGTAATTTAAAGATAAAATTCACATGTTTTATACAAAATATATAAAGGCATGGGATCCATGAAAACAATAACAGGATATAACACATACAGATATGGACTTATTTGCTCGTTTAATTAAACGTAGTTTATTGCCTCGAGCTCAGTCGGACAATAAGTGAGTAGATGAAACTATAGGGTGAAGTTCGAAATTTTTAAGTGATGTTGCCGCACTTTTTGTCATTACGTTCGTTAAAAGTAATTCGAAATTTATCCATTCTCCAAAACTGTGTCTGGATTATTTATTGTGCCATAGATTAACGTGAAACTGGCATGAAAGTTTTGGCTCAAAAAGTCAACAAGTGTTATCCTGACTAGTTAATATTAAATATAGTTTATATAACAAGTACAGGTTTATGTACTTGATTTTGAATAAATAGTAATGATACAGACCCGTTGTCAGTACATACATCAGCTCAAGTCGCCAAACCACATTAGCACAGAGACGTAATTGTCAATTCAAATCCCATAGTAGTAAAGGTAGTAAAAGTATTAGCAATAATTAAAAAAGATTAATGATCGAGATGTATAATCCAGAGGAATCGATTGAAAAAAAAAGAGAAAAAACGGTCATGAGGGATTCAGTAGATTAGGAATTGAAAGAACACAAAAAATGAATCCACCTGCGCCTTTGCAGGTAGTCTGCACCTACCAACATGACTCAGTCCACTTGTCAGTGACTTCATGGATTTGTGCCATGTTTTAATTTGGCCACCCCTAGCTTTCTTCTGACCTACTTCTACACCGTAAAACAGCTCGACAAGGCATTCGGTGGTTGGGCATTGGTAACACATGTCCCAATCACCACAACTGATGAAATTTCAATACTCCATCTATTGGTTTGTCATCCTTACTTAGTGCTAGTTCAGGTGCCGATGCAACCCAATCTTGAAGCAACATTTTGCATTTCGAGAAGGAAAACCGCATCCCGAACATGCTTGCATTGTTACTGAAGGTGGCCAGAAGACTCTTAATTTTGTCAGCGTCTTCACCGAATAGAACTATGTCATCGGCATATTCTAAGCCAACAAGCGTGTCTCCTGGTAGAAGGTCGACTCGTGAAAAGTCGGACCAGGATAAAGTTATATCTAGGAGCTTGTCTACGAAAAAGTTAAACAAGAATGGAGATAGTGGACATCCTGCCGGACATCACTTGAAGTAAAGAATTCCGATGTTTACTACCTCTACTACTATGGGATTTGAATTGACAATTATATCTCTGTGTTAATGTGGTATGGCGACTTGAACTACTGTACTTACGTGCAAAGCTCTAATTTTCTGTTGATGATGATAGAATCCCGATGACAATTAGCTACAGGCTCTCACTCGTCCAGTGGTGTTCCAGTAGAGAGCTTGTATAAGGTTAATGTACTTCTTTGGTACACCTTTCAATGACAGACACTGCCACAAAACCTCACGATCCACTGAGTCAAATACCGCCTTAAGGTTGAGAAATACTACTATTGTGAGGCGTCTGAACATGTGTCTATGTTCTAGGACCTGTTGTAGTGTGAGTATCTGGTCGAAAACAAGCCTGGTTTTCTCTAGTCTGCTCTTCACGAGCACTAGTTAGGCGTCTAAGGATAATCGAGGCCAACAATTTAGAAACTATATTAGTTAGACTTATTCCTCTGTGACTGTCACAAGAAGGCTTTTGTCCTACCTTATAAGTTGGGACAATCAGGGATTGAGACCACTCGGATGGGATTATGTCCAGTTCTCAGATTCTACCTAAGATCTCAGTCAATCTTGCTGCTAAAACTGGGCCACCATCCTTAAAAACTTCAGCGGTAAGCCTATCAGGACCTGCTGCTCTACCTCGCTTTAGACTTACTATAGCTTTCTCAACTTCATAAAGACTAGGAAGACTTACATCAATTGGCCATTCAGGTTGACCGGAGATCGTGGGCAACCGAAGTGTGATTGAAGGCCAGTTGAACTGATCCCCAAAGTGTTCAGCCCATTGATCCAATCTCCTGGATCGAAAATGAATAATAAGATCATCATTTTCCGAGATAGCCTCGCTAATCGTCGGATTCCTAATACCGGTTTCCTTGACAAGTCTGAATATTAGTCTACTGTTATCTATCACTGCTGCCTTTTCCAGCTCTCTTGCTTTCTCTACCCACCACTGTTCGCGATCATTGTGTAGGCTTTTAATCAGCCTGAGTTTAAGCCAACTCCGCTCTTCATCATGTGCAGAGCCAGGCGAGATGAGTTCGGCGGATGCTACTGAGATCCACGGCTTCTCCCTAACCTTACAGATTACCTTATTGGCAGATGTCATTGCTGTTTCCACAGCTTTCTGGATATCAACCCCAGCTACCTCGGGATGTGAATCACTTACATGACTGCCTACCTGTTTTTTAATCGTTCCCGAAGTATATTATTAGCTTTGCTATCATTAAGTAGAACCGTAAGAGGTTTCGTCGCGGTGTCCTTCCTACATCCAGTAAGCCTCAAACAAGTACGCGCTCGTACTAGAACATGGTCTGAATCTTAAAAAGTCCTGCAGAATAAGCGGCAGAGCCTCTCCACCGATGGCTAATAGCAATGTGGTCTAGTTGGGTTGGCTTTGGGGGTCGCCAGGTCAAAAGATGTTCTTCCTTATGCTTAAAGTTAGTTTGCTAGAAATGGATGGTTATGTGAGCATAGCTGCAGCAGGCGGTCGTCATTATCTGGTCTTTGAGCCACGACGCCATAAGAGCCACCCAGGTGTCTTTCCTTTACGAATTCGAATCACCAGTCATTATTACTACATCAGAGCGCTTAACTTTTTGAAGGTTAGAAAGGTTCCTATAAAACTAATCTTTTATCCCGTCTGAGCTGCAGTCAGTGGAAGTGTGGGCAGAGACAACGAAGAGGCAACGGCGAGTTTTCTTATCTTTACGAGTCCTTACTGTCCCGTTTAGTCGGACAGCACATAAGCGACTATCTACCAGGATCCAGTCTAAGAGAGCTTGTTCTGCTCGACGGCTTAATACGATACCTACACCAGCGATGCCACGGGAAGCAGAAGCAGAGCTCCCAGACACACGAAGCCTAAACCGTGTTGTCTCTATTCGCAAAAGGTGAAACAAAAATGATGATTTTACTCGGATCTTATATGCGCGTTTCGGATACGCAACACACATCGCTTGCACGGGATTCCAGAGTCCTAGCTGATGAATCCAGTTGCCCTCTTTGAAGAAGGTTAGAACATTAAAAGCTCCGACATGTAGTTTAGAGCGGGGTTTCAGGAGACCAGGAGTCACGTTTTGTGTGCTCGAAACGTTTTCTTCAGCGGCGCGAGGTGACTAAGGTATCAAAGAAGGGTTGGTAGGAGTTATCAGGTTAGAGGGGATTTGTTTGTGACCGATTCGGTCTCGTGTGCTTTCACGGGTATGAGGGTGGATTTTACCTCCCAAGCTCCCACACCGTGGAGGGGCTGTGATTGTCGGAAGGGGCAACGGCTTCGTGACTTCCGAAAAAACTCGGCTTTCATCATGAGATGTCATAACTCTTCTAGATAAAGACCTAACTCCCAGAGCAGAGTTTAGATGGTTTGGGTTATCTTTTCTTGTTAGCGTTTTTTATAGAGTTAGTTTTCCACAGGATGGGGTCCCCAACATCAACCCGAACCTTCGGGCTTGGGACCAGCAGTAGTTCCGGAAGGGCTCTAGGCAGAGTCGTCCAAACCCAGGTAGATGAAATGAGATTCAAATCACAAAAAACTAAAGGTTGAGAGCTTAAACGGAACACCGTCTTAACAGAGTGATTTAAGCACTATTCTATAACTTATCGAAAACAAAATATTCACTAACAAGCAATATTGAAAGTACACCGATGGTACTGTGAATAGGACTTCATATAATTGATAATATTTAAGTATGGACTAATAAAAAATAGATTTATCATGCGTCCCTCGAATATTTAAAGACTTTACAACAATATTCCATCCAAACTGATAGCTGAGACATAAAATTTATCTAAAAACAGTACAAAACAGTACCAAACTAGTTTCGTTTACATTTCACCATATTGAAATTCCGAATTTTCCACCAGTATGTCAAAATTGCAAACGAATATACTAGATTATGAAGATTTTAGAAAATCCTTATGGCGTCAAAACTTAAATATTTTATCTCCATGGTATATACTTTAAGTACTGCAATATACATTCGGTATATAAATGTCAGAAATATTTTATATTACGAATTTGAAATATGAACGCATGCAGTTCAAACTTACTATGGGTTCAGTCACATAATCCTTAAAAGCTGGAATGGCACTCTGATCTTGAACTATAATGCAGAGAGACTAAAATATCAAAATGATATAACGAGGAAGCATACTGTTCCGACAGGTATATCTTTGCTTCCAGCAGGAGCTAAAATTTTCGCAAGATATCCTGACTCATTGGCATCAAAGGACATAGTTGCTTTGTCTGTCTCGATTTCAGCAAGTAAGTCACCTTCCGAAACCTAGAAGATTAACAAAAAAGAAGTGAACAAACCTCATCACCTTCATTCTTAGCCCAGCTTACAATCGTGCCTGTCTCCATAGTGGGAGACAAGTTGGGGAGTTTAACCACAATATGAGGAGGATAAGCTAAGTTTTAAAATTATTCTGTTAAGAAACTTACACAAAGTGCGCTTGAAAGACAACAACGGACAATCATGATTAGTTAGGATAATTGGCCTTTTAAAATTACTACTCATGTCAACTGGAAATCCTTACTTGTATGTGACAGATCTTCGTATATCAGTTAGTAAAAATTGCCTTTTTACACTCAAAAAAGATGCACCTGATTTGTAGAAAGTGCGCAGCTTCAAAAGCGACTTGCCAGACCGAAAAACCATTTCCGAACAACAAACAGTTGAAATACGAGCTAGAGTCAAAGCTCCTAAACATATTCAACATTTTGTACAATAAAACACAATCTAGATTTGTCAGACTAGGTGTAATACCTACAGTCTTTATAAATTTTTCTCTAGAGAGAGTGTTGAACGACTCAAATGCAGGTGCTAACATCACGTCTGTTGGTAAAGGGTTACCGCCTATGACCTCTAAGTTGTCTTGACCTAGGAGAAGAAATGGAGGGTAGATATCGGGTCCGAAATAATTTTTATGTATTCTATATATCGAAATAAGATCATATCCTATTCTAAGGTTTGCTAGCGCAAAGAGTTCCACATTTTTCAGCCGCTCCGCGCATGATGAACCCCGGAGTTCACAAACTGCTTGGATAGCTACCCTCTATACAGTTTCTAAGATATCTAAGTCACCTTTTAGACAGGGAGTTTCAGCTAGAACGCAGTGTAGCATTAAAAAATCATCAGTTCTTTAAGCCTCAACATTAATTCTAGCCTCAACGATTTCACTGGATACACCCTATCTGAATACGTTCGGTCACGTTTCCCACCAGATCACCGCGGAGCACGCCTTTCGACGTATCTGCTCTCACCGAATGGCAAGCTCAGTTCACTTACTCCACAGCACCACAGCCATACTTCGAATATATTTTCGATCCTCCTCATTCATCATTTCTAGTTTGACTTGACTCTGAATCTCCTTGATTTGTAAGGTGTTGCGGAAAAAAGCGTTGTCCAACTCTGAATATTCATAACATCGGCAACTTTCAATTTTAGATATCGCTACGGTTGTGTATGCTGTAGTGAACCTACTGATATCCAACTCAGTATACGTTCGTATTGAAGCCCCTAGGGTTCTGAAACACTTAGCAGTAACCTCACAATAGTGATCCGTAGTATTAAGACCATGATTTGCTAATATCACAAGATCATTGTGAGACGGGACTACGGGCATCAACACTTCTTCGATGACGTAGAAACTTTTGATGGGATCTTCAGTGTATGTAGATATGCTTGCTATGTTTGAGACCAGTTAACCTGACTATCTAAGTTGGTTTGAAGTGTACTTTAATTTATACCCCTTGTCATTTTACTATCATAAAATGGTATCAAGGACTTAATGATATTCTGAAGTTCATTTACGTGTAGCATAAAAGGTAAAAGACCTAGAATAGATTCTTGTAGTGCTTCACTATGTTCTAGTTTATAGGAGGAGGATTAAGAATTTATTCCTACTTCCTTTCTTCAACCTTTCAAGTAATCTCTGATCCTTTTAAAAAGAGATCTGGCAATCCCTAGATTCTTTAGTTTCAAGTCAAGCAGACAATATCCACAGATTTTTATTATCTCGACACTATGATCATCTTTTTCTAACTATAAGCAGGTTTTTTGTGAGTGAGAATCCTTTTCTAAAGACATGTTTACTGTCGAGCAAGTTACTTGTTTCCATGAGGGTCATCATGGCCTTTTTGTTGATCCTTCTTAGTGTTTTTTAACTACAACACTGGTCAGGTTGACTGACCTGTATTTTGCCGGAAACCGTCATTATCCTATCCAATAAACTGAAGTAGCAATATCATCCGTTCAGCATGTAAATTACTGACCCTGGGAAAGTGACATAAAAGATCGTGGTCAGCTAGGCGATGTATCGTGCGACTTGTCTGATGAATTTTAGGTATATCCTTTCCGGTCATATTGATTTCTCCATATCTGAAGTGCTCATAGGCCTTCAGCGAGTCATTTTGATCAAATTTGTCAGCAAGCAGACGATCATGTGGTTTTGTATGTGGATTTAGTCATTCAACCTTGAGGGGCTTCTGAGTGAGAAATGTCCTGAAATGGTATTGCTCCTGCTTTGTCCTCAGCTTCCTCTATCAATTGGGAAGTACCTCCCTCTGAACTGTGCACTCATTTCTGATCAACCTGTCTTTTTTTATCTAAGTAAGCGACCAATCTCTCAGCTTTTTAAAGGATGGCCGCATTTTATATTCTTCGGAACTGTCCAAGTTACACATTGTTGAGTACGTTATTTTCATAACTATCGGAAGTAGGTCCATGCTTCTTCCACCGATGTTCCAGAGTCAACTCTCCAGTCTTCTCTCAGGGCCAAAAAAGTGGATTGCCCTCATGTTTACCTTCCATATGTCAGCACGAGCTGGCGCGTCAGCTTGGCAGACGGAATTAGCATTGCGGCTAAATACAACTACTACATGATCATCCCGTAATAAAGGAGTAAAGAACTTCACAATAATAACGATTATAATTTATTCCCAAATAACAAAATTTACTAGAAGCATGCCAAGTTACGGGCAAGATCAAAATGTTAAAAATGTTCACACATTTTCTGTAATAGTTTGTTCAGTCACGTAAATATTTCACAAGGTACATTTACTACTTATAGATGGCTAAAATCTTTCACATAAAATTATATATAATGTTTCAGACTCTGTAATGTATAATACGATAGTTGGTGGAGGTACGACCGTAGCGTTGAGACAAACCACTGATTGATGGGCACCAATGTAAGGTAAATCCAGGTCTGCATATAACAATAATTGATGAGGTAAATGTGCAAACATCTTCTTGTTGATATTCGTTAGACAATAAGTCTACGGACTCCTATGAAAAGTAACCAAATCTTCTGCAGTAACTTGGGCTATCATTTAGAGAGTAGAATGAGGTGCTGAAAACGAGGAAGGGGAGAGGAGCAGAATAGAAAATATTCTTATTTAAAGCTGATGCGTGAATCAACAGATAATACTTTTGGACAAAACAGAGATATCGTTACTCATACCTTTCTTTTTTTAGTAATAGAACAACAACTGTCTACAGGCATTTATGTAGGTTATTGAAGACAATTCACTAGTAAGATGACGAATGGGCAAATAATCGTATGAATATAGGAAATTCAAAAGAACCAAACTGTCAGAAATAATGTTGATTTACAGAATATATTAATGTAGGCGCAGTGATTTGATGCTTTTGTGGTATCTTATTTATTATGTTTTTAAAGCTGTAGCTCAATAGGTCAGGAGTTAGCTCTTTTACACCACGTGTCATAATCTGCTAGTAATAGGAATTCTTGGTAGGAAATGAAACCAGTGCAAGGTTACAAACATTAGTCGTTGACGTGGTCTACTGATTAGCTACATCCTGCTATATCGTAAGGAGCCGTAAGCAAACAAAATGTTCTGAACCAAAGATATGAGTAGATAGAGATTATCGTCCCACGGCCATGATTGCCAGTCAGATAATCACGTTCACTCTTTTGTGGTGTTAGGTTTTCCTACGTTTAGTGGTAAATTTTTAATGATGTTTCTTTAGTCTAAGCTCTACTTTTGTACAACTTATCGGAATACTCTTTCTCTACGTTACAAGCAAACCAGACAACTTTGGTTCATATATATCGGACTGAATATTCACGTCGCATCTCACACTGATGTTAAGTAAACAAAGTGTATAAATTGTAATATATGGCTCAGTTAATAGGTAGTTTGGATATAAGTAAAATTAGAAGCTGACGACAAAAATGGGAAAAAATAGTGTTGAAAATTCATGAGTAGGGCAATAACTAGGCAAGGAAGCAAGGTCTTTGGATTTTAATGGATTTGGAAAGTAAAAACTAAATAAACTGTCAATCCATGAACAAGAGGAAACTCAAAATGATGAAGGAAGTTTGAGTTCCTAGTAATTGATAGTAGTTGAGCAGCATCTACGGGATTTACAATTTATTTGTCTATTAGAAATATAGACTAAAGGTGCTAGGACAGATAAAAATATGATGAATAAATTTTGAGAACACATCGAATGTTACGGGTAGCACTTCAAATTCGGGATCTGCTACTGTCAACATGAACAGGATTATTGGTCTTTCATTTCGTGATACCTGTAGAATCCATTTTGAAGGCTTTGTAAATAAATTTGTAATATGCTCTTACTGACTCTTTCTGTGCTACATTTTGGTACTCTATTTAATCCCATTTTGGTATGTTAATATTTGTATTTTGTTATAGTTTCTATTCTTTTGTACCTCTACTTGAGTTTCTATGTTTACTACTGTTACGGTAGAAATGAAGACATTTTGCTGATTAAAACCTTTATATATAAATATCATTAATTTCACTGTAATTTTTGGGTATATTTGTTTTACTTAACTTATGAACTTGTTTGAATTATTGTTTTCGGCCATTTTGGACTCCTGTTTGTCTTGGTTGTTCGTTTGCAGTTTTTTGCTCCAAGAATCTATAAAATAGAAGAACGACATTGGTCGTCTATTTGTAATAAACAAATAACATTTTGGTCGATTATTTGTGAATGGGCAATAAACTTTGGTACCTACTTTGGGTTCGTGAATTGCAAATAGATCGACACACAGTGCTTCTAAGGATCAAAGAGCAAAAAATTGGACGTAACAACTACTGAACTCTATTATGTTGTTTAAGTTGAAACTTATGGTACTTACGGATACAGCCATATTGCATCTGATACCCTGTGTGGGTAAAACGTGCATCTGGACTTGAAAAGTGCAATTTTGGACCTAAACGGAAACATTTTTCCAGAGTTGGAAACACTGTGTTATTTTTGACGGCGCGTATCTAAATTTCTACAAGTGTTTCTCCGATGTCATAATCCATTCCGAATTTCACAATACTTCCATGAATGGTGACGTTGGTGCAATATAGATATGGTCTCTTATTATTTTCTGAAGTGGATCTAAATATTTCGTTGACTATAAAAGAGTGCCTTAGGATCGGGTGGGAGTTCTGGAAATAGTTGATAACGATCTTCAGGGTCTAGCTAGAGCGTCACTAGTTTCTTGATCCTGGTGATCGTGTCCGAGATAAGGATAGAAATTGGTAGTCTGTTCAACAGATGACTGTTCCGTGTTACAAATAAATTACAACGCAATGACTTTTTGTGCTTTGCTCTTAGTAGTGTTAGTGAGCTGTTTCTAAGTCTGTAAGCCGGGTCGTGGTTCATAATTAGGC